TACAAGTAAACCTCAGAGACCCTGATAAATATTCACTCACTATTTGATGAAATTATTCACCTGATTGTGCAATCTGTATTAGTCGGCCCGGTAATTTCCGTTCTGTGACAAGTCATTTCCGAGTTTGAGTCTGTGACTAAAAGCATGACGTGTGATGTGGAAACTGGTGCCCGGATGATACCTGTCATCCGTTACACAAAGCAATGCAGTCACGTGGCCATAGGTCACTTGTCCATCTGGTTTAGGTTACCGTATTTCTTTGGTTAAGAGCCCGGCAATCATTAAATTAAGTTTTAATTTAGATGCTATTAACAATAGTTTTCATTTAGATCTCATTAACTTCAGTTTTTAATTTAGATTTATTAACATCAGTTTCCATTTAGATCATATTCACTTCAAGTTTTTCATTAAGATCTTATTAACTTCATGTTTTTATTTAGATCGTATTATCTTTAGTTTTTATTTCGATCTTGTTTGCTAATGTGTGCTCTTCGATCCTTTTTACTTTCAGTTTATACTAAAGATCTATTTAAACTTTAACTTTTAGTTAGATCTTATTAACGTCAGGTTTAATTTAGATCTTACTGCCTTCATTTTTCACTTCATCGTTTTTAATTTAATTCAGTTTTCATTTAGATCTTATTAGCATCAGCTTTCACACAGATCTTATTAGCTAAAGCGTTTACTTAAATTTAATCAACTGTAGTTACTGTCAAGTTACCATTCATCCTCCATGTCATCATGCATCCACCAAGTCACCACTGACCCTCTATTCTCCAGCTCATCTCAACGTCACCATTCCCTATATTGTGTCATCATTTACTCTCCAAGTCACCACTGACCCTCCTTTCTCCAGCTCATCTCAACGTCACCATTCCCTATATTGTGTCACCATTTACCGTCCTGGGTAGAGTTCACGCCTTGAGGGGTGGTCAGGTAGGCTTGCGGTCAGTGGCTTCGCTTGTCACTTTGGAACTTGAGCTTCAAACTTCGTATGTCAATCGCGCATGCATACACCGTAACTTGACAACATAAACCGACCAATGCATAAACGACCGCGAGGCAGCTCAGTGCAAGGGAGACAACTCTCGCAAACAGACACCTAAAAATTATTAGTTTCATTATTGATTCAATCACTGAAAAAAGCATTTTAATGAATATATTCTTACATGCATCATTGAAATTACAACGTCTTGTCGTTTTATATGCATTAAAAGGTACAATGACAGCTTTGTCAAGTTGTGAAACACTTGTTATAGTTGTGAGTTATCCATTTGTCAATCACAGTGTTTCACGGGTAGTCATGTTGTATTAGATATTAAGTTGCATTTCCTGCATTTGATTCGGGTACTAACCATATGTTACCCTTGATCAACACATGTTAACTCAGGCCGATTCTAGTTAACTCTGGTTGACAGAAATTAGGAACCCGCGGTTGACTCTGGGTCACTCAATTTTTAATAATCAAACATTGACAGTGAAGGGACAGATCATTGTTTGCAGCACTCATAAAATCACCCAACACATGTAAGCGTGTACACGCCCGCACACGCCCGCACACGCACGCACGCACACGCAGGCACGCACGCACGCACGCACGCACACACACGCACGCACGCACACACATGCACACGCACGTACACACACACGCACACGCACGTACACATAAATGAACGCACGCACGCACGTACACACACATGCAAACACAAGTTTTACTCTTAAATAAGACTACGAGCTATGATAAATTAATTACATATCACCTGTCCCGGGTGAACTGGCAATGTATTTGTAAATTTGTTTGTCCGCTTGTTTCACGCCGCCAGACAATCCAGTGATTAACATCGATCCTCGCAACTTGAATACGATTATATGCAATCAGCCATGTCACTTAGTGTGACCATCCGTCCATTCAGTTGCCTTGCGACAAACAAAGGTTACTGGGGATCTATATTTTCCCCACGTGTTTGCTTATAATGTGCCTTGACGATACGTTCAATGTAAATATCGAGGTAAGGTTAGGTGAAACGGGGTTTAACGTCGCGTCCAAGATTATTGCACTTATAAAGCGACGTGCATGCACGTTTATGTGTGGCTGCTTGAACTTGTCCGGACTAATGTCGATTTTATAGTGCTAGCCCACTGATATATTATGCCGCATGAATACCCGACTCAAACACAGTATACTGACTCCGAGCCGACCAGTCCTTGTTTTAGCCCCCCAATACCGAGCGCCAGGCAGGGTAACAACAACTACCATCTTTTAACGTCTTTTGGTATGACCGGCCGGGGATCGAACCCCTGACCTTCCGCTCTCCGGGCTACCACTAGACCACGGAGGCGGTTATATATTCGAGAGGGACAGATCAGCTGTAAGAAACGACTAGGTTATTCTTCATATGATCCTTTTCATGAGAAGATGAAGAAAATTGTGGAGTTCCTGACCTCAAGACATTACTTCGAGTAGTCTATTGTTGGAACGACGTCACATCAAATCGAACGAGCCAGTCATCATGAAGTAATACGTGTAACGCTCAGTCAGAATTACTGACAATAATTTTCTTGCCCATATTGGTTATAGAATGAGCTGACGTCATCGATTCCACATGGAATGTCCGGTATCGAAAACACCCTATTCTGAAAACATTCCATGTATTTGAGTTTCCCAGGCCTTCAGGATGAAATCCCTTTGTCCAATGATTTCTACCTAACCTACACATACATAACATGCTAACATACCGCCCGTTTAAGTCCATCCCTTCAAGAAAGGAAATGTTCAATTCGTGTCCACTCGTGTAATTCCGGGACAAGCCGAAGTCTTAAAGTCCTAAAGTGTGCATCAAAGGGACAAAGCTAGTGCAACCCGCTGTATTTTTATTGGAGACCGCAACAAACCAATTGCGGTCTACGTGTTTGACTGTGTTTTATTTCATTGAAAATGTGGCGGGTTATAATAATTACGATGCACACCTTATGGGGATTGTGTCTTGTTTTTAATTTGTGTGGCTGTTTTTATTTAAGGTGTACATATTCCATTGTCTGGTTGCTCTCTGCTGGTTTTCTCTGATAGGAATGATTTTCTTACTGTATTAGGACTACGTCAGCCGCGCACAGACAACAGATGGTCAATGGCCAATATTAGTGTTTAATTTTAGATGGAATGAACGTAAACAGCCTGATACAATCAGGTCTATAATATAACACATATAAAACAATATACACGTATTATAAACACAGGGCGGTTGGGTAGCCTAGTGGTTAAAGCTTTCGCTCGTCACGCCGAAGACCCGGGTTCGATTCCGACATGGGTACAATGTGTGAAGCCCATTTCTGGTGTCCCCCGCCGTGATATTGCTGGAATATTGCTAAAAGCGGCGAAAACCATACTCACTCACTCACTCACTATTATAAACACAAATATGCACATACAATTCATTCGCATACAAAGAAGGTAAGATACAGTCGGTAACGTTGTTGTAAATGCACTTGCTAGAATGTTTTATGTACTAGTACTTTCAAGTAAACACGATATATAAAAACACGATATATAACCTAGTGCCAACACTAGATAGACAATATACATAGTTTATAAAGGACATATTAACGATACATAAACGACATGTAAACGACATGTAAACATACCAGGTGTGAGGGCCTGGGTTGATACTACACCTGGGGACGGTGCCGCACCAAGTTTCTAACCAGTAGAACTACAAACTCGTCTACAGAGCAAATATATATACAATGCATGCAGACAGGCCAATAAAAACAAATATAGAACTCAACACTAATGCCTTCTATCATATATACAAGTATACGTGTAGCTGAGCATGATAAAGCGATACTATAAAATGCCGCATTAATCCATGCTTACCTTCATTCATTAATTATGCTTACCTTCATTTATTCATTTATGGGGGCGGTCGGATAGCCTAGTGGTTAAAGCGTTCGCTCGTCACGCCGAAGACCCGGGTTCGATTCCCTTCATTGGTACAATGTGTGAAGCCCATTTCTGGTGTCCCCCGCCGTGATATTGCTGGAATATTGCTAAAAGCGGCGTAAAACCGGCGTACTCACTCACTAACTAACTATTTATTTATGCTTACCTTCATTTATTCATTTGTGCTTACTTTCATTCATTCATCACATGCATGCTCATTCAGTCTTACCTCTTGTATCACAAATGAGCTCTACTAGTATTGCTAAAATTACCAATATTACTTTTTAGTTTAATTCTCATACATGTTTTATTGAATTTAGGATACGTATTTGTTTATTTAAAACCCAAATAATAATCACGAATCCACATGCCGTGTATCCGTGTATAAACACACATATATCCAAATGCAAACTTCCTTTTCAATAAACAATGTAATGAAAGCCTCTCCCTTCAAATCAGGCAGCCCTGATCCTTGAACTCCTAATAGTTTGAACTGGTTTGATGGATTCAGCAGTGTATAATTTTACTCTATAGCCAGTGGTTCCACAAGTGTTATAGTCTAAGGTTTACCAGCTTAACTGTTTGGTTGTCTTGTGTGGTGGTTCATTGTAGCCATGGTAACTCAGACCAAATACTAAAGGCATTTCGGTTCTTGTTGTCCATTGGTGGAGGTGAGTGGATTGTCAATGAAGTGGGGTTCCTTGAGTTGCCCTTCCCCCACCTCGACTACACCTCAACCCCCCACACACTTCTGAAAATAACAATTGGACCCCAGTGACATAAAGGGGGTGCATTGTTGCAGGCCGGCATGATATAGTTGGAATGCTGACTGCAGCGTTAAACGCTAACCGTCTCTGGCCAGGTTGTTAGGTAATGTCCAGACATACTAAATAAAGCCGAGGTCCTTCACAGTTGCCATACGTGGGGCAGCTAAACAGCTCCCGCCTAAACCCCGACCTCCACACACACACCTCGTCACACTCTGTGTTGGCCTACTCTATACAGGGCAACAAGCGTTGTAAATGTCTATATATGTTTGTGATTAGCGCGATGATTGAAGCGTCGGGATAATGTGTTATTATAACCTGTACTCGAATGTCAACAATCAATGGGCAGCAATAAGGTCAGCAATGAGGTTTTCACTGGGCACAGACTCTGTCGTCGTTGTCCATTAACACAGTAAGTATCATTTACAGATAAGGTTTCACATGAAACTCACAGTGCAGAGTTCACCAGCCAGAATTCAGTCCGATTATGACCGTTGGTCTGTTTGCATCACACCCACACCAACCCGTGAAGATCCGGGGTAGAATAGGTTTTCAGCAACCAATGCTTGCCGTAAAAGGCGACCCTGCTTGCCGTAAGAGGCGACTAATGGGATCGAGTGGTCAGGCTCGCTGACTTGGTTCATGCGTGTCATCGTATACGAATTGCGTGTTATCGATGCTCATGATATCAATCATTGGATTGTCTGGCCCAGACTCGATTATTTACAGACCGCCGTCATATAGCTGGAATACTGCTGAGTGCGGCGTTAAACAATCAACCAACCAACCAACGTTACTCACCTAGTTCACAACAAGCAAACAAACAAACAAAACACACCCACACCACAAACGTCCCTATAACAGTGCCAAAATCTTGAACGCGACGTTAAACGCCATTTCACGTTGTTGGGTATCACCAAGCGGTAAACGTCTGACATAAGGGACCTGAGTCATTTGACCTGTGATATAAGGTGACACATTTTGTGCTTTACGAGTTAGACGTAAGGAGCTACAATCAGGAAATAAATACATTATGTATGCCCGACTGCTCTATCTATAGTGGCTAAGAAATAGAGGATTCATCACGAGTGTTTTTTGATATGGGAAATATCAACCGAGTCTTAGTTAATCGGTATTTGACAAGCCTTTGGCGAGGCAAATACCGATTAACGGGACGAGGTTGATATTTCCCATATTAAAAAACACGAGTGATGAATTCTATTTATCATTTTCACATTTTTGCTTCCAAATTAAGGAATAATTGCATTAAACATTAACATCAGCAACTTGTCGAAATCTTACGTATAGATCGTGTGTAGTGATACATGTTTTCCATAGCCATGTAAACCAGAATAAACAATTCGCTGAGAAAAAAAGTTCCTCGGATTATTTTAAACAAAATACTTGAACAGACTTTTGCAGAATAATTGAAACTTTAATAACGGTAACAACAACGATTCTGTGTAATCTGATTATATCTCTGGTGTAACTTCACTTATAATATATAGTTTCAAATCAAACCGCTCGCTCTTCCGGTTATCTAATTTGCATATCTAATTTGCATACTTATGTCATTGGGGTATGACATACATGTTTTTATGTCATAAGCTTATGTCATGGATAAATGCTTAAGTTAAATGATAAACATAAGTAATATACAACCACACAAAACAAAGTATCTGTTACTATAAATAGTATTTGATATTGTATGTAGTACCCCTTTTCAACCCGTACATGTTACCGTAAATGCTAAACATCATTATTTGTTTCCTTGGAACAGATCGATCAAAACAACTTATTTTAAATAACATGGAATATATATTGAGCTTTTCTTAATAAGGATCAGAATTTATGGATGTCAAATTCTTTTATTATGAGGAACATAACGTTTCGGGTATCTGCTTACTCCTTCATCATGTGAATGGATGCTATGAGCCAGAGAGCAAATATATGTACATGTAACAACAAAAGTAAAAAGATAACAAAAGGTGGAAACTTAATAAGGGAAGCCTACACATATTTGGCACAGATTGGTGACCAGCAATGGACAATGGAAGCCAACGCGTTACAGTTATTGGCGTTGATAGTTATGGACATTAACTGCAAGTCAAGTACCAATAACAAACTGAGGTAGAATCGTAGGAGGTTCTGCATTGCAGAAAGTATCTGTTTTCTGAAACTGGAATTCAGACAATAAGACTAAACGTATTAACACCTTAATATTACCGAGGGGAGATAAAATAATTAACTCCGGTTTTGTGTTTATGTTTTCTGAGTAGCCAAAGCTGAGACCATGCGAATGGACATGTCAACCTTGATAACCCAATAAGATAAAATGTCACGTGCAGTTATATTTTGTGTTTGAATTAATAATATACATGTTGTTCAGCATATCCCTAAAATTGTCTGAAAAGAGAGAGTTTAAATTCGATGCATAATATATAACTCTTTCTCTATTCAAACCCAAACTATATTGTTAGCTGGATTTCTGGATGTCCTGCAAAATAATAATAACAATAAAATAAATTCCATCCCTCATAGTTAAAACGTTTTTAACACATTCCCGTTCGTTCAAATATCCAAACTAACGGGACCGACAGGTAGGACTTCCTTGACCATATGACTGCTCCCAACTGCTAGAGTCACGTGATATAACGCATTGTTCACAACAACACATTGTGGACGTACCACCAGTTGACTTGTCCTTGTCCTGTTCCAGATGTGGGTTTATCGTAACAGTTCCAATCGGGTTGTATAAACTGAAGCATGTACGACTCAACATGACCTACTCTTGCGACATTTCTGAGGATCTACCCGGGCGTAGTGGTACCCCGACCCTGGTCATGGCAGAGAAAACGAGGTCCTCTGGGCGGTGCTTTAGGGTGATCAGAAGCAATCTGCTTGTCATCCTCACATTCGTTGGGGTAACAGTCGGTTTTGTTATAGGATACTGCGTCCGTCTTGCAACTCCCTCACAAGATGCCCTTATATGGATCGGTAAGTTGTCATGTTATTGTCAATTTAAATAATTAGTGTGAATGATTTTGTATAAACGGTTTTGACGAATGGTTTCATTTCCGTGTGAATGTAAAACATATATATCCTTTACTTGTTTATTGATTTGTGTGTTGTGGTGTTCGTCTTAACCTCCGAAACGTGACGGTGGCTTGGAGATGTGTGTCTGCAAATTGCAGGTGTACAAGTCTCAGCAGCACTCTCTGTATATTTTGACCCGTGAGGATCAGGGTTAGAATAGGTCTTCAGCAACCCATGCTTGCCGTAAAAGGCGACAATGCTTGTTGTAAGAGGCGACTAACGTGATCGGATGGTCAGGCTCGCTGACTTTGTTGATGCATGTCACCGAATCCCAATTGCGCGGATCGATGCTCACGATGTCTATCACTGGATTGTCTGGTCCAGATTCGATTATTTACAGACCGCCATCATATAGCTGGAATATTGCTGAGTGCGGCGTTAAACAACAAACTAACAAACAAATTCTGAATATCCTAATTAATTCTTGAATTATATCCAATATTCATCTGCATTTACAATTTGTAATACACCTAATCTATCACGTGCATATGACGGGAAATGCAGATTATTATGTGAAATGTCATTCCCACTTTCGTGAGACTCATAAAAATTAAGTGTTTCTGGGGCACTTGTATCTCACAAGTGGAGAGGTAGGTAGAATTTAAATATACTGAACCGCAAAAGAAACGTCACCATGGATAGATGTATGAGAAACTTTATTTGTCCAAAACTGTAAACATACTTTTAGACATAATAAAAAGATTAAACTTGCCACAAATGTGATGAAGTCTATTTTCTTCCATAAAGTATATCAACACAACACAACGCAGCGTGCACATTGAACTCGGCTGTTCAATACAAAATCAGTTGTCAAGCATGGATAACACAGTCTACCTCGTACGACGCGGATAATTTAAAAAATATAATTGACTGGAGCGCCGATGCTCGATAAATTAAACGTTTCCTTCGTTTAGCCTAAACTAGTGAACGTTTCAATATACTATCAATAAAACACTGACCAGGAACCATTGTACATTTCAAATGCTCTCGAAATATTTTTAGATCCGAAAACTTTCCATTCATAATACAATAAAATACGTTTATAACGAACACCCTTATAACGAACTGTCGGATATTACGAACTTAATTTTTGGTCCCGGCCATTTGCTTCGTAGTTGTTGTATATGCTTATAACAAGCTACGGTGATAACGAACTAAATCAGTCGTCCATTTGAGTTCGTTTTAATAATCTTTATACTTAATATATCCACTATCTGTGATTGGACGGCATTAATTACTTGACAGATTATGACCTCAGTAACGCTAGGTCCATCAAACGACGTCGAACTAAACTACTCCTAGTTTCCTAAAGACATAAAATTGTGAGTATGTGAATGTTCTATGCCTCTTTTAGCAATATCCAGCTTTATAGTGAGTGAGTATGATTTTACGCCGCTTTTAGCAATATTCCAGCAATATCACGGCGGGGGACACCAGAAATGGGCTTCACACATTGTACCCATGTCGTGAATCGAACCCGGGTCTTCGGCGTGACGAGCAAACGCTTTAACCACTAGGCTACCCGACCGCCCCTCCAGCTCTATAACTGTGGTGAGTCAGGATCAAGCAAACCAGTCACCAAAGCAACGATCCACACGTTAAAAGCTTAACAAATTGAGGGCACAAGAGACATCAGCATAAAGTCGAGGAACGCCTCGTTCAAATATAGTCTAACTAGATTCATCGCCTGCGATAACACGGGTCTCGAGGTCGATAGAAGACACACACCCCCCTCAACTTTTTTTCCAGTGATGGAATGTAGGTCGGATAAAATTTCAACTAGCGAGAACACGAATATGTGTACGCACACTTGAAGACGTATGTGCATAAATGTGATTGGTTACGATAGAAAAATTGACGTGTGTTTATGAGAAAAATAAAAAAAATGTGTGATGGTATTTTTGTGTTGTTTTCTTCGAGTAAGACCGATCATTTGTACAAGTTTATGTAGCGTAGCCGTTAGTATTGTTTAGACTTTTGGGACTGCTGGGGCCATTAGAATAATTATCTACCCTCATGGGAGATGTTCTATGCCCCGTGGACCCCGTACGGACCCGGCACAGAATAGGTCCCCAGTCTATGTCCTAAGCGACGACTACCTTGAATCGGGAAGTCAGGTCGGTGACATGTTTGAGTGAGTGTGATCGTCATCCGACAGCATTGGACGAAATCAATCGCTTTTCAATCGGTTTGTCAGACTCTCTTATGTACAGGCCGCCGCCATATAGCTGAAATATTGCGGCGTTAAGTGACATTCACTCACTGGTTTTGGTTGTGCAACATAATTCAATTAAACATTATTTGTTGTCCACCGCTCAAGGTACCGGTGGACAATGAATTTATCCCACCGCACACCTAATTATATTGCAGGTAGGTCCTATGCATGCGTCGTGTGTAGTTAGGGAGCTGCACAATCCGCGGATTACGCAAAACAACTGCCCCATACCCAGGAACCGCAACTGGTGTCTTCCCAGGTGACCGACCCCTTAATCCCCAGATTTAAGTAATCGGGATAAGGCACGCTTCATTGCGTTATCTAATAGAATGAACAACGACTGAAATATTATAATGTAAACACCTTCGGGGCATTTGTTGACATGATAACGTACTGGAAGTACACTTCTAAAATACCATACTTTATCGAGTGGATACACAATATGAAAATGTACAGATCACACTGGTTCAATAACAACGAACCTACCTCTTCCAACAGATCCCGATACCCGTGCTCGTGGGTTTCACCGAAGTGTTAAATGTCTGAGACCTGCATCACTTCGGGCTTTCCTCCCACATTAAGCTGACACGCCGCGATATGACTGGAATACTGTTAAAAGCGGCGTTAAACCCTACTCACTCACTCACTCACTCACACTCCAACAGATCCCAGACACTGACTTTTGTTGAGCAGCAATGACATCGTGTACAGTCTGTTCATAGTCACTTCTTGTGAAAACGGAGAATGTCTTGATGATCAGATTCTCAACTTGTATTTTATCCTCCATCGCGAGGCTACTTTCAAACGATTACGAACCGCTCTAATTATGAATCACTATCTGAACCTGTAAGGACCGCCTCCGTGGTCTAGTGGTTGAGCGTCCGCCCGGAGAGCGGAGGGTCCGGGACTCGATCCCTGGCTGCGTCATACCAAAAGACGTTAAAAGATGATACTTGTTGTTACCCTGTCTGGCGCGCGGCATTAAGGGGCTAAAAAAAGGAGTGGTTGGCTCGGAGTCAGTATACTGTGTCTGAGTGGGGTATTCATGTTAAACTGCGGCATGGTATCTCAGTGGGCGAGCACTATAAATCGGCATCAGTCCGGACTAGTACAAGCAGCCACACACACACAAGTTCAATAATCTTACACGTTGAACCCCACTTCACTTCACCTAAACCTGTAAGCGTTACTTGCCCACACCAAGGGATAACTCAGATTACTTCATTGTCCAATCCAGGTGAATGAGCAAACCTCATTGCGTTTGGACGGGGCTTGGTCAAAGCGTCGCCTATTCTTGGGGATTACGCAAATCGTTTGCGGGTGGTATGTTGCAAATGTAATGCCAACAGTTCGACAATTCGAGCGGGAAACATAAGTACCTTCCATGTGAGCGGGGTACATTGAAAGAAATAAAATGGGTCTTAGTCGATCAGAAACCGACGTGTCGTGCTATAACTTTTTGCTGTAAGATTTTGTGGCATTAAACCTTTTTATGTTTTATGCTTCGATTGTTACCTTCTGGCTGCTGCACAACACCCACGGAACATTACACTGTATATAAGACATTGAGACTATCTACTGTAGTCCACCCACATCACATTACACTGTATATTGGACACCTTCAGACTATCTACTGTAGTTCGCTCACAAAACGTTACACTGTATATTGGACACCTTCAGACTATCTACTGTAGTCCACCCACGGAACATTACACTGTATATAAGACATTGAGACTATCTACTGTAGTCCACCCACATCACATTACACTGTATATTGGACACCTTCAGACTATCTACTGTAGTTCGCTCACAAAACGTTACACTGTATATTGGACACCTTCAGACTATCTACTGTAGTCCACCCACGGAACATTACACTGTATATAAGACATTGAGACTATCTACTGTAGTCCACCCACATCACATTACACTGTATATTGGACACCTTCAGACTATCTACTGTAGTTCGCTCACAAAACGTTACACTGTATATTGGACACCTTCAGACTATCTACTGTAGTCCACCCACGGAACATTACACTGTATATAAGACATTGAGACTATCTACTGTAGTCCACCCACATCACATTACACTGTATATTGGACACCTTCAGACTATCTACTGTAGTTCGCTCACAAAACGTTACACTGTATATAAGACACCTTCAGACTATCTACTGTAGTCCACCCACGGAACATTACACTGTATATAAGACATTGAGACTATCTACTGTAGTCCACCCACATCACATTACACTGTATATTGGACACCTTCAGACTATCTACTGTAGTTCGCTCACAAAACGTTACACTGTATATTGGACACCTTCAGACTATCTACTGTAGTCCACCCACAGAAAAATTCACTGTATATAAGACACCTTCAGACTATCTACTGTAGTCCACCCACAGAGCATTACACTGTATATAAGACATTCAGACTATCTACTGTAGTCCACCCACATCACATTACACTGTATATTGGACACTTTCAGACTATCTACTGTAGTTCGCTCACAAAACATTACACTGTATATAAGACACCTTCAGACTATCTACTGTAGTCCAACCACAGAACCTGAAACTGTATATTGGACACCTTCAGACTATCTACTGTAGTCTACCCACAGAACATTTCACTGTATATAAGACACCTTCAGACTATCTACTGTAGTCCAACCACAGAACCTGAAACTGTATATTGGACACATTCAGACTATCTACTGTAGTCCACCCACATAACATTAAACTGTATATAGGTCACATTCAGACTATCTACTGCAGTCTACCCACAGAGCATTACACTGTTTATTGGACACCTTCAGACTATTTACTGTAGTGCACCCACAGAACATTAAACTATATATTGGACACCTTCAGACTATCTACTGTAGTCCACACACAGAACATTACAGTATATATTGGACACCTTCAGACTATCTACTGTAGTCCACACACAGAACACTTATGTCATATATGGGACACGGATTGGCTGCTGTAGAACATCCAACACTAACAAAAGACAAAACAGAAATCACCATGTTTATTGTATAGGCAATACGCTAGATAGTCTAAAATTATCTCGTTTTAATTTGATACAGCTTATTACCCTTTAAACCGTTTCATCAGACAAAAGGTAGGGTTCTACAAAGAAAGCAGATATGTTCGAATTGATTTCCATTCACAATGAGATCAATAGTCTTGCATCATTGTGAACAGTGTGTGGGTGCTTCTGTCACTTTCTCGCTTGCTCAGTGTTTAGCTCACCTAACAGAAACTATACAAGTACCAAATACCATAAACCTGCCACTTTCTCGCTTTCTCAGTGTTTAGCTCACCTAACTGAAACTACACCAAATACCATAAACCTTACCCAAAGTCCTGTGAACATAATCGAAAACATATCGAGTTACTAAGAGTTAGTGACAAGTGAAGTTGTGATACATAATAAATCTACTAGGTCAAAGTTATTCGCTTTAAAGATATATCGAGTTAAAAGAGTCAGATGTAACGAGGTCTGTATATCATTTCTTAATACACACGTATTTGCCTTAAGTCAGCTCTGAAACCGGATATCGCCATTAACATAAGTTATCCACATCATCATATATCTTGCTTATTCAGGGAGCACGTTGGCGCTGCAATTCGCGATGGGTTCGAATCCCGGTTCACCCCAATTATGTTTTAAGGTTTGTCAGCACCATGCTTGTGGGTTTCACCTAAATGGTAAACGTCTGAAGCCTTCACTGCTTAGGGGTGTCCTCAAACATTAAGCTGACACACGGTGATATAACTGGAATACTGTTCAAAGCGGTATTAAACTTAGCTAAGTCAGTCTCCCTTGCTGAATCATTTGAGTGGATTATGTTTACAGGTACACCCTGGTTATGGAAACTCACAGCATTTAGTCCTCTAGGAACGGAGACGACAATATCTGATATAAAACTCACTGACCCACATCCACTACTCTAGTACTTCTAGTGATAAAACAGCCAAATTGTATTTGTATATAGATGTCATATATCAATACAAGAGTCAAAGTGTTTGGCATTTATGGATAAGCATTGGACAAGGTCAGGGTCATCATTTATTTGTGCATGGGTGTAACGATTATTTAACTTGAATGAGTGAGTGAGTAAGTGAGAGAGTGGGAAAGGATGGGGGGGGGGGGGGGGGGGGGGGGGTATTTTAGGTTGTGTGGTACGAGCACATGTGTGTAATTTCATTATAAAGTGACTGGAAGTGTGTGCATCAATCTGATTGTTTCACAAAAGTGGCTAAATTAGGTCAGATACGGGAGAGGGAGGGGGACTAAGCAAAGTTATGGGTCTATGAAAATCAGGTAAATTTTCATTGTCAGCTTGAGAGAAATACCATTAGTCACACATTCATGAACACAACACGTCTAGAAACTTGGAAACCACCTCCGTTGTCTGGTAGTAGAGCGTCCACCCGGAGAGCGGAAAGTTCGGGTTCAATCCTGGTCGCGTCATACCAAAAGACATTAAATGATGGTACTTGTTGTTGCCCTGGATCGGGCTCTGGAGTAAGGGCTAAAACAATAACTTGTCGGCTCGGAGTCAGTATACTGTGTCTGAGTGGGGTATTCATGTAAAACTGCGGCATGGTATTTCAGTGTGCTGGCACTATAAAAACGGCATTAGTCCTGACTAGTACAAGCAGCCACAGACACACGTGCATACACGTAGCTATGTAAGTGCAATAACCCATTTCACCTCACCTCACCTTTAAAAACATGGCGGGATACGAACCTGCAATCTCTCAATTTCTATCCTTGAGTCCTTCACTCAACCAGCTGCATCGGCGACTGTTGTCGTTATGATCGCAAATGTCAATTTGCCTTGTCACCATTAACTAAGCTTGGTTTATTTGTACATTAAACATGTTTAAACGTTTCAATTCTAATGCGTGAAACGGTTTGAGGGGGATCGTCAACTGATGCTCTCTGCTTTTAGCTGTTTAAGTAGAGCTGTTCGTCTTTGATTAATGAGAACGGATTATAACATCAAACTTTTTTTTAAATTTATGATTAAAATTAACAACAGCTCATCCCCGTTGAACCAAAAACTATCCGTACTTCGATAAAAGCGGAGTGCTGATATTAGACATTGCCGCGGACAAGGGTAATTTCGAGTCCGTTATGTTAAGTCGTAACTGACGTTCTTCAAGTTTGTTTGGTATTCACGGCGTGTCAGCTCGATGTGGGAGGAAATCCCCGAAATGACGCAGGTCTTTGACGTTTACCATTTTGATGAAATCCACGAGCACGGGTTGGAGCCGACAAACCTAGAGCCATAATAAGTGTGAATCTTGAATTAGAACCCACGATCATAGGTTTCTGGCACGCCTCAGCCACCTGTGCCCCTAATGACAGTTTAGCGTTGTTGTTAAAATTGAATATGTTTTAAAGTTTAAATTGCATAATAATATACAGTTCCTGTGTGTTTATTTTCCCATTATTGTGTTGTAATAATGGTGAGAGATTGTCAACGTCATATGTTCCCAGGGTTGCCGGGGGAGATGTACATGAGGATGCTGAAGATGATGATCCTACCCCTCATCATATGCAGCGTCATCGCAGGTTCGTACCTCAAAACAGACAGAGAGGTAGTATAGTGGTTAAAGCGTTCCCTAGGCACACCCAAGCCCCGGGTTCCATTGCCCACATGGTACACGAGAAGCACTTTCTGGCGTCCCCTAGCTGTAATGTTGCTGGAATATTGCTAAAAGTGGCATAAAACGTACCTTACTCACTCTATCGAAAACACGTCACACGGCAAAAAGACATAATGTATGAGTGACCTTGGTTCAGCGCCGCTGTGAGCTGTCCATCACAGAGTGTCAGTTAATGTAGCAGGAAGGCTCGAAGTGATGCAGGTCTCAGACGCTTAGCACTTTGTTGGTACACATAAGCACTACTGAAAGATCGAGGGTTTTAACTGACAAAAATCGGGAATTCGAACACCCACGATAAGTGGGTATGGCATATACATTGATAGGAAAGATCAACACGTACATAATGTTGAATAATGTTGCAATAATGTTGGAGAACATTTAATTTCTTCTCGTTGTGTTAAAAAAACAAACCCAAAATAGGATAATACTGGGCGCGAATCTCGGGCTTGTCATGGAGGAAAATGTGTTGTTTGTATGGACCACCAACCTTATGACCCAAATAAGTAAAAGAAGTTTTCTCGGCATTGCAGGTACAGCATCATTAGACCCAAAGTGTAACGGTAGAGTGAGTCTCATCTCTCTCTTCTACATCATCACCACCAACGCCATCCCTGCTCTCGTCTCCATCGCCATAACTATCGCCATCAAACCAGGTAAGAGGGGCGGTAGGGTAGTTAAGTGTTCACTCTCTGCACCACAACAAGTGTTCACATACTCTCTGTCCTGTGTTACCCGTGAAGATCCGGGATAGAATAGGTCTTAAGCCACCCATGCTTGCCGTAAAAGGCGACTTTGCTTGTCGTAAGTGGCGTATAACGGGATCGGGTGGTCAGACTCGCTGACGTGATGCATGTCATCGATCCCAATTGTGTGGATGGATGCTCATGATATCAGTCACTGGATTGTCAGGTCCAGACTCGATTATTTACAGACCGCCGTCATGTAGCTAGAATATTGCTGAGTGCGGCGTAAAACAACAAAGAAACCAACCAATAACCAACTCTATCCTGTTAAAGGCGGTAGGACAGCTGAGTGGTGAAATCGTTCGCTCGTCACGACATGGGTTCAATGCGTGAAGCCCATTGGTGCCCGTAATATTGATAAAAACGACGAAAACCCCTGATCTCTCACTTACTCAAACCAGGTAAGACAACATGGATACAATGATGAGACAGGATAAGACAATTGTAAAACCCATGTGACATGTATAGAAATATTTTGTAAAATCAAAGAAGATATTTGAAGTTTCAATTGACATATCGTCTGAACAATCTAAACAGTACGTAGTTTTCATTATATGTTATTATGGTTCTGCCCAATTGACTATTATAGTTAAATATAAAAACGTATACAAAATACATGGATGTTACTTGTTTATTGTAAGTGTGACCACAAAGAAGAAAAGAGTTATAAATTGAATATGCTATATCTCTGAGAAATAAAAATGATTGAAATGGTAAATATCAAGCGTAGAATGAAGTCAAAGCCGTTTTGTTTGTTATTGGTTGGAATGGTCTTGAATCACTATATCCTACCCTATTAACCAGCCCGTGAAGATCCGGGGTAAAATAGGTCTTCAGCAACCCAAAATTGCCGTAAATGGCGACTAGCGGGATCGGGTGGTCAGGCTCGCTGACTTGGTTGAAGCATGTCATCGATCCCAATTGCGTGGATTGATGCTCATGATGTCAGTCACTGGATTGTCTGGTCTAGACTCGATTATTTACAGACCGCCGCCATATAGCTGGAATATTGCTGAGTGCGGCGTTGAACAACAAACAAACAAACAAATAAACCATAGCATAAATACAAGACAAAAAACAGCTCTTTTATCGATGACCACATGCTTACAAGTTAATCATGGTGTAGCAATGTGACCTTTGACACACGACACACGTGCCTATTTTTTGCAAGGTAATGGCGTGGATCTTACTTCCGGCAGCGAGAAGACCATCACGCAGATAATGGAAACACAGGATATATTTGCCGACCTCATCAGGTAACTACCTGACCACCCGTGTCCACCCAGATCAAGTGATGTTAACCCGCAATGGGGTGAGTGAGTGAGTTAAAATTTAACGTCACATCGGCAATATTTCAGCCATATCGTGACGAATAACCCGCAATGGACGCAAACTAATGTCTAATGTCTTTGTCGCCGCGAATAGATGGAAGACTGTTGATGTGGCACTAAGCAATAATCACTCACTAGCCGGTAATGTTGTTTCGGGAGAGATCTTTGATTTGATTGGTCGAGGAATGCGCTCGACACACAAGCTCAATTCTACGATTCTTCTAGAGAATGTCATTTCTTCTCCACTTGCAGAAACCTATTTCCTGACAACATAGTCACAGCTTGTTTTAAACAGGTGAGATGTATTGCATCCAACGTGACTGACTAGTATTGTAAAAGACTTACTTTAGGAAATTGCCAGAAACACCAGTTTCTAAAAGGAATTTGAGGGTTAACGAAAAATAGTAACTTTCATAGATTTGTAACAAAACATATTAAAGAGGGATTCTTTGTCCCAAGTATATTTCGTTTAACCCGCATTCTGATTGGTTTGTTGTGTTTTCGCACATAACATATATTTTTAGGGGAACGTGTCTTTTTGCAGGTTAGGGGCAGGCCATTTGATTTTTAGGAGAGAGAGAGAGAGTGAGAGAGAGAGAGAGAGAGTTTTTACTACAGATGTAGGTGATTATGAAGGCAGAACAATGGAAATATCAGTATAATAAAGCATTTATAACATAATAAATATAGAATATTAGCAATAAACATGACATGTTTGTACTTACATCTACTTGAGGAATGTAATTTTCAATTTCTAAGATTGTGTATGATTGACATAAGCAGCACAACTTTGGATGTCAACTGACGAACAAAATAAACGTTACCAAACTGAAAGTTGGACACGTTGGGTCCAAACCCCGAATACTGTAACGAAATAGTTGAAAATCAATCGCCAAAACACAACCACACCAGTTTGCTGAGTAAAGCACGTGCTACATTACCCAGATCAGTGGAACTTGAGTTTGAAGTGAAACTTTGGCTGCACTTGCAGCATTCCAGCCTACCAAGATATGGATATAAAAACGATGTATTAGTAATTCACACCCAAACCGTTGGACTGTGACAAAAAAACATGATTAATGGTACTGACATAACAAGCCATTGGTATAATACATCAAGAAGCAACGCATGACCACGTTGTAAGGAGTTTGGGCCGTAGTCGAATGACTGTCACCAGGCTGGTGGTCCGTTACAGGCACACAGGATGGACGGGAGACAGGCAATACTTCATCGTCGACATCGTTGGTGAGGCGGCGGTATAACAATACCCCTGAACGTCGTGGAGCTTTTGTTCCCAAAAGCATGTTAAAAATATTGAAAGTCCAAGTACTCAGTAAAACGCATTTCTCCAATTACAAAGATCATTTTTTGCCTAAAATTCGTCAGAATTAGGACACACACACTTATATCATCACAAAATAGAAACAGGTGACACCAGACCCTGTTTATAAACAAAACGCACCCACTGGGAAATAATGTTCCAGACAGGTGCAGGAAATGTTTGAAGCCAATATCATTCTCCCCAGTTCTTCTGAATGGCACTCTCTCATTGTCATGGTTAAAAAACGTGATAGCTCTTACCGCTTTGTCGTAAATTATAGACGCCTCAATGCAGTTACCAAACCTATATTTTTTCTCTCTACCACCTCTGCCAAGATATTTAGTTGCTGGATTGTGCTAGTGGCTTTTGGAAAATACCACTCCATCCAGATGGATTAATTAATCCATTAATTAAATAAATTACACCCAATCGAATCTCCTACCTTTCGGCCTCATAAATGTTCCTACCGCATTTCTGGAGGCAATAAAGAAATTGATTGGCGTTTCATACTAATATATATAAACTAGTGTCCAAAAGAAACGATACCAACTTATTTTCAAAATTGTTTTTTACTAAGTGAATTGTCAAGTATGAAAACATGCCAATTCGTATTGCACATCCCAAACACAGCATAGTCGATAAAAAATACCGGGAACACGTGATCACTTCCGGGAAAAAACGTAAATTTCGTGAAAGTGACATTTCCCTCTCTAGCATGTTCTGCACGTGCAGAAAAACTGTATAAAACGGCTGATCAGACACGTTGATATCACAGCAACAAAAAGAACACAAGATATGCCACGTTTGACTGCCATCGAGAGAGAGAGAGCCGTTGGAATGGTCCAACAAGGAGCGTCACACGTCGACGTCGCCAGAAGGTTGAGCTGCGCACGCATCACTATCACCAGGTTGATGCAGCGGTTACGTCAGACCAGTCAGACGTCAGACAGGCCCAGGAGTGGAAGACCACGAGTAACCACGCCCCGTGAAGATCGTTACATCCGGGTATTACACCTGAGGAACCGCACCGTAACAGCGACGTCCACGGCGGCTACAGCACTGGGACACAGGATCAGTCGACAGACCGTCTACAGGAGACTACGGCAGTATGGTATCCGGCCACGTCATCCCTACCGCGGACCGCTCCTGACGCCTCGACACCGGAACAACAGACTGATCTGGGCCAGGCGAGTTCGACGTTGGCAACGGCGGGACTGGGCACGTGTTATGTTCTCTGATGAGAGCAGGTTCCTCATCTTCAGAAACGATGGACGGCAGCTTGTATACCGACGATTTGGTGAATCGGCCGTTTGGAGGTGGAGGGTTAATGGTTTGGGGTGGCATATGTGGTGACGTCAAAACGATGCTTGTCGTAATTCGTGGAAACCTGAATGCACAGCGTTATCTTGATGACATCCTACGGCCTGTTGTGGTGCCCTGTATTCAGCAACAACCTCGTGGACTCCTTTTCCAACATGACAATGCAAGGCCACACACAGCAAGATTGACACAGAACTTCCTTGCCAACGCCAACGTACAGGTTTTGCCATGGCCCGCATGTTCATCAGTCTGTAGGCGTGTTCTGGCATGTATTGATGCTCACGGTGGACATACCCGCTACTGACTGGACTTTGAGACGTATGGTGTGACATTTCCCGTTGTTTCTGTGATCAGTGCTCTAACGAAATGTTCATTTTTCGACCCCACCCATCTTTAAAGGCTTGTCATATTGGTTGTACAGATTTTATTGAAATGAAATTTTTGTACAGATGTTGTGAAAGGATTTCTCAAAAGAATAACACCAATCCTAAACTTCTGCATTGTTTCGTTTTTCTTTTATGTGGTATCGTTTCTTTTGGACACTAGTTTAGATGGCATAATATACTGAGTCAAATTAAAAACTTAACATTTTAAAAAGTAATCCCATATATGATATACAACGGATAAATGTAATTTATAAAAGTAATTTTTAATCATTAATGTCCAAAGACGGATTTTAATTAACGGTGGTAACCATAATTTGTTCCAAGCACCTACGGTATTCGGTAATAACATTAACATTTTAAATCATAAGTCCCAAGCATGAGAATCTGATGGCAGCGTTCAGTAGCGTGTATGGCCACCATGTGCGTTGACAACTGCCACACAACGCCTCCGCATGGACCTTGTGATGCTTGTGAACACATGATTGGGAAGACGACGCCATTGTTGCTGCAACATGGTGCCAAGATCTTGCAAATTCTGTGGTTGGTTCCGGAGAGTGCGCAGACTTCTGCCAAGAGCATCCCAGACGTGTTCGATGGGATTGAGGTCGGGAGACCTTGACGGCCAGTCCATGACGTTGACTCCCGCATTCTGAAGGAAATTCCTTGTCAAAATTGCTGTGTGGGGTCTGGCATTATCGTGTTGGAAGATCAAACAGGGTCCATGTGCTGCCATAAAAGGCAGAAGTTCTGGTGCCAGTACCTGGTCGCGGTAAGCAGCAGCGTTGAGGTTGCCACGGATGGCAAGAAGCCTGGAACGTGCATTGCCACAGAAAGCATCCAACACCATGACACTTCCGCCTCGAAATCTGTCAACTTCCTGTACACAACACTGGGCGTAACGTTCATGACGGCACCTCAACACCCTCGCCCTACCATCAGCAAATCGAAGATTAAATCGGGATTCATCACTGAAGACGACTTGATTCCAATTCCTCTGAGTCCATCGTAAGTGTCGCTGTGCCCACAATTGACGTTGACGTCTGTGTAATTGAGTCAGAATCGGCACTCAGTTTGCGCACTCAGTCTACCCCTAAACAGTTCATTTCTGGTTGATGTAGCCGTCAAAAATCGGTTACGGAGGTGACGTAAGACAATCTGACGATCCTCTGCATGTGACGTCACACGTGGTCGACCTGGCCGAGGGCGATTGGCGGTGGTACCCGTTTGCTGTAGACGCGTCTGTAAATCATAAACAGTCCGTCGACTACAACCCATCATCCTTGCAACTTCAGCTACGGACGTTCCCGTCTGCAACATGCCGATGGCACGTTCACGTTGCACATTTGAAAGGCGTGGCATGACAAATGGCCGTAAAGAGTTTTGTTACTTGTGTTTTTCTTTTTTGTTAATGACTGCTAACAAGTATGGCTGAAAACACGTGCGGTATTATGGCCACGTGACCAGTTGCACATGAAAAAACACTTTTGCCACTATAGTGCTGTGCACATGATTTTGATCGATTCACCTGCACAAAAACGGGTGTTATCTGAAGACAATACGTGGTCATTACTGTTTAAATACACAATAAGGGCCCACAATGATAACTAGTCAAAATGTTAAAATTTTAGGATTGTGAAGTTTTTAATTTGGTTCTGTATATTTTCTACAACGTATTTTGAACATTTGAATCACCTCAATGCAGTATTCCAAAAGATCGAAGAAGCGGGACTGACTCTAAAATCAAGCAAATATATTTTTGCGACAAAACTTGTCATCTACTCAGGGCATATCTTCAGCAAATTGGCATCCATGTCGATCCTTCAAAAATAGATTCAGTCACACAGATCCCACCCTTTAAAATGTCTATGATGTGTGTCATTTCTTAGATTTGTCCTCGTATTATCATAAATTCTAAGCAAACCTTTCTTGGATCGCCTCCCCTCTATAAAAACCTTCGGAAAAAAGACGCGTGTTTTCGAATGGTCCAACAATTGCCAACAGGCATTCGAAAAGTTAAAGCATGCCCTTACAACAGCCCCCATCCTTGCCATCCGACCAAAACAAACGCTTCATCCTCACAACTGATGCATCTCAAACTGCAATAGGGTACATTTCGGCCAACTTGATTGATGTCGATAATTCATGTCTTTTGTCCATACAAGTATCTTCCTTTACTGTGTTTAGGAACAAACAATTTTGATTGGTAACATTTCTTTTGCTCGTCAGTTGTTTCCAAGTAAGGGTATATGGTGCTTAATGGTAATTTCCCATTACAGTCAACAACTGTTATGGCCTCTTGAAATGGAAGATTTGAAATGATTATTAATAAATAAGGGTTACAGGCATACTGTCTCTCATGGTCATGCCCCTCTGTCAAAGATTATGGCTTTGCTGATGAAATATTCTGTATTGATGAGGATGACCATATTGTGGTCGAGACTATTGAGGATGAGTTATTTTTGTACAAGCAGATGGAGGCTGAGTTTTTTTATTTACACAAACTTATGAGCTGTGTTTTATAAAAAAAGCAACAACCTAGAAATCAAATGGTCTGCCCCTTACGTAAAGGTGCAAACGGTGACAAATGTATAGGAAGGGACGTAGAACTTTGACTTGCCTCTCCAAAACATTTTTGTCATTTCTTTTCCTTTCATTATACCTAATTTTTATAGAAAAGTTAATTTTTAACCACCGATCTTCTGATACTTGAAAGATATTTTAATGACTTAATACCTTATAAAAGGCCAAATCATTACAGCAACATTAAATGTTGTCACTAATGTTCGCAGTTCTTTTTCTCAGCCGTTGACGTTTTATATACTGAAATATGTATCATTATTCATATGACTCTTGGGATGTTTCAGGCTCAGACGAAGTATCTTGTAACAGAGAAGGTCGTCATGGTAAACGAGTCTGGCGACATCATCAACAACACCGTTGTCGACGTCGTGAAGACAGTTGGTTCTGCAGAGTCCACTAATGTATTAGGTGATGTGTTGTTTAGTGCACACTTGTACAAACTGACATTTGTTCATCGCTTATCTCGTTTTACAAATTCAAAACGATTTTTATAAACAATAAACTCGTCATCTCAGTCAAGATTCGTAGGGACCTAGCACTCTTTGAAAGAGGCGAGCAATTTTTTCAGGGTAGTCAGGCTCGGGTGATAGCATATTCATTGTACCCCATGTGGGATATCATATCAATCCCTGGTGTGTCTGGTCCAGACTCGATTATTTACAGGCCGTCGTTATGTGGTTAGAATATTGCTCAATGTTGCATCAAACAAACAAACGAAACCGTCTCACTTTAATTATAGTCAAAGGAAAAAGTATCATGTTCTTTTGTGGATTGATTCATACACTCTGAGTCTCAGATAAAAGAAATTACTTAACACTTAAATATTTTGTTGTGGGCATTGCATGATGTCATAGAGGTTTATCTACAAAAAAAACTTGTGTCAGTTGAGCAGATTGTTTGCTGTAATAAGTCAGTAAAACACGAAGGGGTCTGTGACCAGTGGAAAATGGACAATCTTGCTGAAGTCTCAAAATGGATAAAATGTCGAAAGAAAACGTGTAATACACGCAGTAATATCTACAGAAGCCAAATCACATTGACAGTGCAAAAACATGTCAGTGGGCCATACTACTAAAACATAAAAAACCCGCTGAAAATTATTATATAACATGTTGGAGAATAATGATTCAAATTTTGTATTTTTGTGCATTTTGATTGATGACTTTTTTAATGTTATTATTTACATGCTATTATAATACAACGAAAACTGCTCCTGTCTATATGGTTAGGTGATAAGTTACTTTTGCCTTTGAGTATAATCCTTTTCTCCCCCCTAGGTCTGGTCATCTGCTGCATGATATTCGGGATGGCCACCACAGCCTTGGGGGACGTTGGCAAACCTTTCTTCATCTTCTTCCACTCAACCAGTGAGATCATCATGAAAATACTGCGTTGGCTCATCTGGTAAGGAGACTGTTGGATCCGAAAATGGAACGTTTAAATAACAGTTGTATTCTTCTCATCCATCCATATTCAGTGTATTATATTTCTATCACATGATAACTACCCTGGGCCAATTCGACGCCAGAGCTTCTTGGAGAGTTATTTGATTGGACGTAATTTTTTTGCGTCACGTTATTCGAATTGGGCGTCGAGACGAAGTTACCTTAGCAAATGGGTCCAGGGTATTTATCCGAATAGAATGGAAACATTGTGCATTGTATATCAAGGATGGATAAATTGATTAATTTTCATGAATTGCATCCTTTGAAACTACTATTTGACCTATTTGACGTGACGTTTCAAGTATTAATAATATATACACATGTATATTGAGGGCTTTTTCGTTTTAGATTCTTTATTCCAATACGTAACTTTTCAATTATAATATATAATGTTTACAATAACAGACCTCTAACTGACCATTCATTCATTCATTCATTCATTCATTCAATCATCTCTTCATTTATTCACGTTCATGTAAGTACATTTAGTATATCTGCGTGTATGTTTCATATTGATCGTTGTAGGCGTGCTGAAAATATCATGACTGGAAGTTTGGGAAGCTTGATAGTTTCTTTCAATGTGGCTTTAATTATTGCTCGTTTGTTAATGGAATTGATTGAGTGATGAAATTAATGAACGAATCAATGACATGTACGTTAGCTGGCTCTGTGTTGAAGGTTCACGCCAGTTGGAGTGGCCAGTCTTATAGCAGAAGCACTAGCTCGAGCAGGGAATCTGTCCAGTACATTCCGATCTCTTGGCATGTTCGCTTTGGTGGTCTGTGTAGGGTTAGCCGTCTATCAGCTCATCGTCCAACCCATCCTGTTCTTCCTCGTCACAAGAATCAACCCGTATCGGCGTCTCATTACGTTTGGGAGACCATGGATGGTCACCTTTGCGACTGCTAGTTCGTATGTATCTTACGTTAGTGTCTTTTGATTTAACGTAAGCGTTTTTATCTATGTATAATTATCAATGTCTTCATCGACATGTGGCACCAGATGCCCAGTGTTTTACAGCACTTTGCTGATCGAGGGTTCGAATCCTAGATTGCCCGAGTATGATCCTTGGTCAGAACCATACCGTGCTCGTGGTAAACATCAAAGACCTGCAACAATTCGGGCTTTTGCCCGTCATCAAGCAAACATACAGTGATATAACTGCCACCAGCTTCTAAACAAGTGTGATTGTTCTAAAGTAGTTTAGATTGATTGACGACAATGTGTGTTCTCGAGTGAAATCAGGATTTGTCACAATGTCACAACTGACATTCGTTATTTTCAAGCAAAATGTTTAAACGTTGCCCAATATTTGTACTGTATAACCGAATACATAAATACAAATTTACTGTCATATATGAAAGATTGTTCCTGTACCACTGTGGGTGGTTCTTTTTGACAAATAAAAGATTGATGGGTCATGTGATGGCGCCTACTCACAAGAGATGCTCGGCTCAGGTCAACTTGATGCTTGGCTCAGTTACTGGTCGGTTCAGGTCACGTGGCAGTTCCCCTGTACTCAGGGCAATTGGTAGTACTCTTAGGCTCAGGTCAATTGACGATCCTCCTACAATTAAATCAATTGGTCGTCCTACACTAGAGTCAATTCGCAGTCCCGTGTGGCTCAAGTCAAAGGGCAGTTCAAACAAGTTTCATACATAGACGAACAAACATAGCTTTACCTGTGAATTTAAATTGTATAAGGAAGAATAAGTATTGACATTATGGTTTCAGTGCTATCGCTATCCCCGAGACGCTCACCATACTGGAAGGGAAGGAGAACAAAGTGGACAAGCGCATCGCCCGCTTCGTCGTTCCCTTCGCAGCCAGCATCAACAGGGATGGCAGTGTCGTCTACATCAGTGCTGCCTGCATATTCATCGGCCAGCTTACCAACGTCGATATGGACGCCACGAAGATTCTCCTTATATGGTGAGTTGAGTGGAAGAGTGGTGACTTGGATCAGAATGTTCTAGGCAGAATGTTTGTCTTGAGAGATGCCAACAGTATCACGCTAATCTTCATGGAGAGAAGTACTACATGCCTGACCCTAAATATCTTACGCTTATTTGCACAGTGATGTAGAGGAGAATGAGTTCCAAATGCCTCACACTTCTCTTGTTCCAAATGCCTCAAACTTCTCTTAATAGTGGTATGGAAACAGGATAGGTTCCAGCTGTCTCGCACTTCTCTTAATAGTGATACGGAAACAGAATAGGTTCAAACTGCCTAATACTGCTCTTAATAGTGATACGGAAACAGAATAGCTTCCATTTGCCCCATGCATATTTTTGTTGTGATTCGGAAACAGAATAGGTTCCAAATGCCTCACACTTCTGTCAATACTGATACAAAGGAGAATAAGTTCCAACTGCCTCACACTTCTCTTAATATTGATACGGAAACAGATTAGGTTCCAACTGCCTCATGCTACTCTCATTAGTGATACGAAAACAGAAAAGGTTCCAACTCCCTCACACTCTTCTCATTAGTGATACGGAAACAGAATAGGTTCCAACTGCCTCACACTTCTCTAAATAGTGATACGGAAACAGAATAGGTTCCAGCTGCCTCACACTTCTCTTAATAGTGATAAGAAAACAGAATAGGTTCCAACTGCTTCACACTTCTCTTAATAGTGATACGAAAACAGAATAGGTTCCAACTGCTTCACACTTCTCTTAATAGTGATACGAAAACAGAATAGGTTCCAACTGCCTCACACTTCTCTTAATAGTGATAAGAAAACAGAATAGGTTCCAACTGCTTCACACTTCTCTTAATAGTGATACGGAAACAGGATAGGTTCCAACTGCTTCACACTTCTCTTAATAGTGATACGAAAACAGAATAGGTTCCAACTGCCTCACACTTCTCTTAATAGTGATACGGAAACAGGATAGGTTCCAACTGCTTCACACTTATCTTAATAGTGATACGAAAACAGAATAGGTTCCAACTGCCTCACACTTCTCTTAATAGTGATACGGAAACAGAATAGGTTGCAACTGCCTCACACTTCTCTTAATAGTGATACGGAAACAGAATAGGTTCCAACTGCCTCACATTTGTCTTCATAGTGATACATGAGCAGGATAGTTCTCTCCACGGCTGACCCAAACGTCCTGTACAATAGAGCTTCCTGTTTCCTTCTGAACACAAATCATGGGGACGGGGTAGTATTAATTTATATGTGTATACACGTTCCTTGTAGTATCTCTCTGAACTAACGGGACTCCCAGGTCAAAGAGATTTTACTTTATCTTTCTAGGATGTTGACCCTCGTCATCTCTGTGGCCATCCCGTCTGTGCCCAGTGCTAGCATCGTGGCCGTACTCATCAACCTAACAGCTCTGGGCATCCCATCAGACAGTATCGGCCTTCTCTTTGCCTTGGAGTGGATTCTGTAAGTCTTGGCCCGTAGGGAATACGAAACGAAATATTTCCCCAGTACTGGTCTCCGTAGGATTCCGGGCCGGAGGAGGTTATCAGTAACCCATGCGTGTCTACGTGCGGATAGGTCCCAGTACCACAATGCTCGTCTCCGTTGGGAATTCGGGCCAGAATAGACCTTATTATCGCATGCCTGTCTCCGTGGGATTCCCGACTAGAATAGGTCTCCAGTATGCCCTTGCTTCTCACAGGGGATTACGGGGAGGAATAGGTGCCAGTAGCAAAGTTCAAGCTTATGAGCACAGGCCAGATAAACAAATATCTTAAATGGTCATCTAGAGATCTGGAATGGCTCAAACGTTACCTTCTTGAGTGCGTGAGTGAGTAGGTTTGGTTCAACGTTGCTTTGACCCGTATTTCAGTTATAACTTGGCGGGTCTGTTTAATCAGGGAGTGAAGCCGGGAGTGATGCAGGTCGTGGACGCATACGACTTTGGTGAAACCCACGAACAGATATTGTGCTGACAAACCAACCGTCATGATCATGGAGCACCTGGGAATCTAACTTGCGATCATACAATCCTGCCACGAATAAGGGTTACAACTCTTCATAGTGAGGTGTAGCGCTTTGGTTAACTGCCGTTTCCTTGTTTGTGCTTGGACGAGTAGGCTCCGGGGAAGTAAGAGGCTGGTAGCTCTATTAAAGTTCGCCATCAAACACTCATTGTTAGAACAGCTTATTCCCAAAACGAGGCTTGCATTTAGAGTATACAATATTAGAGTCACTGTTTTTTTACTACACATGTACTTATTGGTTGTTATAACACTACTGTCCTGTGCAGAAAAGTATTTGACCCGTGAAGATCCGGGGTAGAATAGGTTTGATTGTTTGTTTGTTTGTTGTTTAACGCCGCACTAAGCAATATTCCAGCTATATGACGGCGGTCTGTCAATAATCGAGTCTGGACCAGACAATCCACTGATCATAAGCAACGATCCAAGCAATTGGGATACGATGACATGCATCAACCAAGTCAGCAAGCCTGACCACCCGATCCCGTTAGTCGCCTCTTACGACAAGCAGAGTTGCCTTTTACGGCAAGCATGGGTTGCTTAAGACATATCCCACCCCGCAGTTATAATGACAGAAATAACCCGAAGTTTTGAAACGTTGGTGTGTTCGGTTGTAGCAGCCTGATATAGAGTGACAGTGGGTGGCGAAGTACAATTTTACTTCTACTTCTCTTAGCCAAGATTGAGCTGATGAAGTGTAACCGGGAACATGCGCAGAGGGCCTCAGACTGGTATTCCAAGATGACTGCGCCCACGAGTTGCGGTATCGTTTAAACGTGCCGTTTCCTCGATGATTTAACGGGCTAGTTGACATAGTTGTGAGAACATTAATACCAAAGTAAAACAGGTAACAACAGACAAAACTAATCTGAGAAGGAAAAGAAACTATACCTCTCAGCTGATTTTATCATATGTTTGAATTTTAATGGACGTTATCGACATTGTATCCAAATAATGAGCTGTTCTGGCACTTAGTCAACACTCAAAGGACTCTTCATCATGGTTTTATTTTTCAAAATATAATTTCTTTTAAAACTTTAATAATTAAAAAAGTTGCATAATACACAACTGTTGATGGATATTTTAGACATATTTTTTTGGAAAATCAATAAACATTTTTTCGGGACACAAATTCAGTCAAGTCTCGTTAATCCGGCACTCGTTAATCCGACACGAATGATTGGAACCGATGTACAACATTTCAAACAATGGTAGGGGTTCATTTCTTACCCCAATTTTCATTGAACCAGTATATTTTTACACAAAATTACCCAGCCACAGATTACTTTTTTCAAACTACAAGATATGGTGTTCGTTTCTAGGTTACAATATTAATATTAAAGTTCCAGCATTTGTTTTTACGATGCATGCTTGAAGAAAGTAATTACCCGCTTCTGCAGGCGATAAAAGCAAGATGAAAGATGCAGGTACATTGAAATATTCATTATTTCTTTTTTTCTCTTCAGGGATCGTCTGCGATCTGCATCGAATGCACTGAGTCATGCGTATTGTGCGATACTGACTCATCATTTCTGCAAGAGCGTGTTGACAGCGGCCGACACGAACCACGAGGGAACCGATACTATCGTAGATCCTTTGAATGAATACAATTTAAAAAGTCAAAATGTAACTTGCAACGATGGCAAAATGTTGGAATTAGATGATGTATGATGATGTACGGTCAGTTGTTCCGTGTACCAAACTAAATGGGATCATCCTCGATTATCAGAGGTAATGTAATTCTATTCATTATGAAAAATACCCTTGGCCCATTGGCTGCGGAGTACGATGACACACAATCAGCCAAGCCTCAAAGCCTGATCACACGAGCTATTTAGACGCCTCGTTCGAAAAGAATAGGTTTATTGGGACTTATTCTAATCTGGAATCTGATGTGCATTTCAATTTACAAAGGAGGGCGGTGTCCATAGTTTGTAAACAAGCCTATTTCAATATTCTGAGACAAGGGGGCAGTTGAAAGAAGTGACACTATTACACAGTACATTATACACACGACAGCTGTGCCCTTTTACCATATTTTGTTTGGGGCATAAAAAATGTTTACTATTCATATACAAATGACAACACCTGAGACACTTAAAATTCTAACAGAAAACACCAACTGTATTTTGACTTAAAGTTGATTTTATTAAATGTGATATATTTCAACCTAATACAAGTTAGCTGTATCAATTTGTATTTCCTATTTTGTTGATTCTCTTATCCGAATTGAATAAATAAATAAAACAATTCTTGTGTCGTCAATTTAGAAAAATGTATCCGAATAAATTTAATCGAAGATGGGTCATAGCTTTTGAGTGAGTGAGAATGATTCAATGCCACTTTGAACAATATTTTGGTTATATCAATTCGTGGGAGGAAAGCCTGCAGGATCAGCTTTCATTAAGTTATACATGTGATACGATTGATATTTTTCTCGAGTTACTTTCTATTGCAATATTATGACAGTACTTGGCCATTCTCTTTGAAATGTGGATATTTAGAGGCACTCTCACCAGTTCTCTATATGCCATGGAGTTGGAGGTTGACGATTTTAGCCCAGAAGCAAGCTTATGTAACTTTAAATGCGCACTCTCTATAACTTTAGAATACCAGAGCGTCCACCCGGAGAGCGAAAGGTCGGGTTCGACCCCGGCCTCGTCATGCCATAAGATGTTAAAAGATGGTACTTGTTGTTACCCTGCCTGGCGCTCGGCATTTAGGGGCTAAAACAAGGTCTGGTCGGCTCGGAGTCAGTATAATACGTCTCAGTAGGGTATTCATGTTAATCTGCGGCATTGTATCTCAGTGGTCTAGCACTATAAAATCGGCATTAGTCCCGACTAGTAAAAGCAGCCACATAATGGACATAAGTGCAATAATCTTGAACGCGATGTTAAACCTAACCCCTATATTTCAGACCCTTACAGTGGAGCAGGTGAAATCATGACTTCAAATGCTGTAATCAGACAATCGATTGGGAGGTTAATAGTTCTAGCTTTTTTCAGTAAACAGAATGAAGCCCTTTTAGCATTATCAACCAAGTTTTAACTACGCGAGAAAATGTTCCATTTTTTATTAAATTTGATGCCGTACCTGTACCTGAAGCATGGTTTATTATTCCTACAATTCAACTTCCCAAAACAACTGTTTTGGTCTTACATTTCCATTGCAAACAATAACCATAAAAGACAATCATTGACTTCTGAAGAGATGTAGGGTTATCTCCAAATGATCTAGCATCTGCATATAACAGAAGTAAGAACTGTAAACACATTACACAGCCGTCCTCATTATAGAACATGGTATACGAACTCCGCTGCATTGCTTTTTAAGCATGAAAGACTTCATTTCATTGAGAAAAATCTAAAAGAGCAGAGGGTACAAAGTCTCTCCTTGCCTTATTCCAGATTTACTGTCAAATCCCTCGTAAATCAATCAAGATGTCTTCTGGCAATTATACGCTTTAGCATGGTCCCCCATCTCATATAGCTGGGATATTTCTGAGTGCGGCATGAAACAACAAAGAAACCTACTATACCACTTGTCACTATGCTAAGCAAACAATTTTATCAAGAGTGACCTGCGGTTACTTAATTGGTAAAACTGTTTATAATAACTAACAATTTTTTTATACATTCCTTGAATTAAATTGTTCTATTTTATACTTAATTTTACAATATTTTCCATGGAGAAACTCTCAATGACATGTGGTCAGCTATTTATTACATTATGCATAGAACTCCTGGTTATAGTAACACTGCAATATGATTTCGGTTGGCATAGCATTGAAATTATGAATTAACCTTTTTTTTAAACTTTTAAAATCTCACCCTCGTGTCTTTTGATATCCACGAGTGTTGATATATTTGATATCAAAAGACACGAGGGTGAGATTTTATACATCATCCAACATCATTCTTCCACCTTTTTCAGTTTGTAGACAGTAATAAGCAGTGTCTCAAGTGTAAAATGTACTGGTAACAGCTTCAATAGCAGAGCCATTAGTGATGTCATTTTATTGTAATGTCATGGTAACCAATGACATCGCAATGGTTTGCAAAGCATTGTGATGCAATTTCATTGCAGCGGTAGATACAATGTAGATATCGCGTGATCTCACTCAAGAGAGAGGTCGTCATTAAATAATAACTTGTATACAAGAAAGGATAATTTAGATGATTTCCGGGAGAGTAATTTTGCCCAAAAACTTATTATTCTCATTTTAGCGATGTTTGATAGTTTTCCTAGTTCCCCATGTACCATGAATTTGGAGTACATTTTCTTAAAGATAAAACCTATTTAAGAAAACGCAAATGGACATCTTCTACAGTTCAGAAATTTCCAAATCCCCATACGTCGCATCCGTTGAGAAGAACTGGTATAACCACACTGTCAAAAAGCCGCAGTTGACATTTAAGTGATAAATTTAACTTCGACGTTTTATTCTAAGCAGCATCTCACAAACTTCAGTTAAAAATAAACATATTTACAGTTTAATTAAGCCGTTTAAAATTTCAAAGAGATTGCAAGTGTCTGGGTTATATCATTATGAGTAGAGGGGTGTGTGGCAGTTAAAAAATATTTAAATGTCTGACAACTGGGTGTCTGACAAATGGGAGGGTCCCTCACACACAGAGGTGTCGTAAGTATCGGAGTAAAGGTCTGACTTTAATGAGATTGGGTCCAATATGTGAGAAAACAATGGAATGAAAAACACTATGATATGAATTACTACTATTTGTTGATTATATATATTGATAGTAATGTACTGAATGTACACATGTGAACCTTTCATCAATGCACTCTTCAAAAAAAGAAACGCACAGGTACTATGTAGTTCACTGAACCTGACTACACAAAAAATGCGGCATATAAATTGGATATATGTAATTGGAAAATGTTGGTGGCCTGATATTCGAGAAACAGTGCGTCAAAACGCAGCCATTGTCGATTTGCAATGTCTTAAACGACATTGTTTTCACACTTGTTAAAAAGTGGAGGAAAACAGTAAAGCAAAATGCACGTGCAAGTTATGGCATTCGTAACTCGTGGTAATGGCTATAAAAAGGCAAGCATAAGCCAATAATTTGTCATTCAATTGTCAACATTTTTCAAGTTCGAAACTGCCAGGACTCCGCGCTGCCGACCGGAACATCGCCATGGGACGTATCCAAAGAGGGGAATTGCAGTCTTCCGTTGCACGCCACTTCAACGTCTACCACAGCACCATTTGCCGCCTTTGGGACCGATACACACTGTTCAATTCCACTTGAGACCGTTGCAAAACCGGCCGACCAAGAGTTACCACCCCTGCACAGGATCGCTACATTTGACTGTTCCACCTACGTCATCGCAACGCCACAGCTACGGAGACTGCAGGACGCATCCCTGGTTTGAGGAGGATATCGGACCAGACTGTCAGGAACCATCTTCGCGAGGCTGGAATCCGACCCATAAGACCAGTTATCGTCCCTATTTTGCAACAGAACCATCGACATCGACGCTTGCGTTGGTGCCATACCTTACAGCCTGGGAATTTGAGAAACTGGAGAGGAGTTTAGTGATGAATCACGATTTCATCTTCACCAGCGAGATGGAAGACAACGTGTTTATTGTCGTCGAAATGAGCGTTTTGCCCCACATTGTGTACGTGAATTCGACAAAATCGGTGGCAGTAGTGTCATGGTATGGGGGGGGGCCTTATCCTACACCAGGAGATCTGACTTGGTTGTGGTTCAGGGAAATTTGACAGCAAATTTGCAACATGAATCAAATTCCTCAACCTCACCTTCTTCCAATCATTGACCGCCAGAGGGAGCTGTTTTAACGGCAGAACGCTCCACCGCACACAGCTCGCGTCACGGTAGACTACCTTTATAATGCCAACATCAACGTCTTGCCCTGGCCGTCGAGATCTCCAGATCTCAACCCAATGACGTCAACGTCGGGACACGTCGCAGACACTCACACAACTGGCCAAGGCGTTACAAGCAGAATGGCGCAGAATTCCGCAGGACAGAATTCGTACACTTATCCAGTCAGTGCCGAGGAGATGCAGAGCCGTGATTGCTGCCCGGGGCGGTCACACGAGATACCGAGTTCAGCGCAACCTTGTGTCCTTATGTGACATGACAATGAACATTTTTAATGCCTTTTGTACAACGACAACATGTGACTATCGGGCTCCAAAATTTCATATTTGTATCTATTATATTAAATGGTCTACACTGTCGAAATACAAAACATACAAACATACAAGTCCCCACTAATTATAAGTATCTGTATACATGTTACAGTGTTGTAAACAACTTGATAACATTTGACATACTGCATTCTGTTTGTGCTCATAACGGTCCTACGAATGCATCCGACAACACATTGTTTAACATACCATACGTGTGATTAAACGAAATAGTAGTTCCAAACTTGACACTTGATTACACACTATATACAGTTGAACTGCTTCAAGTACATGTTATACCGTAATGTATATTCATGAACTTATTGTTTATGATCAGTCAATATCAGCATGCAAAAATGTTTTTCTGAAAAAGGAGAGTAATGAATGTTACAAATAAGATCCAACTTTAAATCAGTACTATGTTTGTGAAATGTTTTTTCCTGTCAACTTTTCGACTAAAATTACCGTGGACATGTTTATTTCAAGAACAGTATTCGTCATGTTGTGTAACACACACCGATCTTAGTACCACCTAACTCTCAGTGAAATACACATATCACAAGTTCTTCTTGGGACAATACTCGTTACCTGTATTATCAGTTAGAATGGCAGGCGTTGGCATAAAATTGGTGAGGTAACTTTGTCGTAGCGACGTATAAGATAACAATAAAGAATTGAAGGTGTTGGCATAAAATTGTTGGGCCAACGTTGTCATAGCAACATAAACACAACGATCAAGACAGGAAGGCGTTAACATAAATTTCTTGAGACAACATAACCTTTGCGACGTAAACACAACCACCAAAAACGGAAGGTGCTTGCATTACACTGTTAGACCAACGTTGTCATAGCGACGTAATCACAACCATCAAGAATGGAATGTGTTGCCATTACACGGTTGGGCCAACGTTGTGGTGTAACCACGACAGTCGGGAATGGAAGGTGTTGGCATAACAGTGTTGAGTTAATATTACCATAGCGACGTAAACGCGACCATCAATCATGGAAGGGCTTGACATAAAAACACTGTTTGACTAACGTTGTCATAGAGACGGAACAGCGTCCTAACGCTGGTTTCATGTTGTAAAAGTTGTTTTCTTAAAACTATTAAAATATTCATTTTGGAGTCTTTAGATCATTGTTATGGCGTAGTATGTTTTTTCGCGTTCCATGTGCAGGTAGTATCATGTGACTCCGGAAGTAGTAAAATAATAATTTAATGAACAAATGGAAAAAAGTAACCACAATGACTGTTATCAACGAATGATAGACAAAAAGGACATATGTGGGTTAATCTGTTTAATCTAAATGTATCATCAAACAGGAATTAAAGAGTTCAATCATAAAGATGATATTAGGCTTTTTTCAAATAGCCTGTTTATCTCATGGCGTGATAAATTCATATTTTTATGAGTGGCACAGACATGAGTGAAAATGGCACTTTTCAGGTCATGAGATACATAAATAGAGTATTTCATCACTACATAGCCTCAAGCTGCCGACATACCCCTTCCCATAAGAAGAACCAAGCAAACTCTCTTTACTATTATTATTAATATTTCTTTATGGTTTGTTTGTATCCACCCGATTAGAAAATTATGGTTCTGGTCAAATGTTTTGGTCGCAGATACTGTTTCGGGGTCTAAATGCACATTTCTGTTGTAAAAACAGAGAAAATCAAATAAAGTCCCCTAAGAAGGTAGTGTATGCATTGAGACCTTATTTTTATCATTAATGTGAAAGTTTACACAAAGTAGACTTAAATTATTATTATGTTTTAATAATAGCATCTCACAAATTGAGTTAAACAATTAGCAAAAAACAGTGGTAAATTTCGCTCTATTTTCATTTTCCAATTATTTGAAAATGAACTGCTATGAATTATTGGTATTATCAAACAAGCCATTTGGTATCTCGAAATGAGCCGACACGTGTTTTGATGAGATGGCAGTGTTTATATTTCCCATAACTTTTATAATTTTTGAAAAATTGGTAATTTGTTATCCGACCCCCATTTTGTCAAAATGTGCAATTTTTTATTCCCATTTTAATTTCACTAATAATAGCTTAAAACAACACATACATTTGATCGTTTGCAAATACCTTTCCTATATAGGATATCATTAAAGATATGCCTAAAATCAATGTTTTTCAAACCACCGAAGACGTAAATTTGAAGGTCAATGTCACTTTGAAGGTCAAGCTCTAAGGTTATACATAAACAGTATAAAACTGTTGGGTTTCACCTTTGTTATTTAATTATGTTTGTTGTTCTTGCAGGTACATGTATATGTCCTCTGCTTCATAGCATTAATTCACCTTATGAAGGAGTACGTATATATTCCAAAACGTTGTGTTCCTCATAATCAAGAACTTGGCATATTCCTTATGTGCATCACTCCTAAATGTCATTCTAAGACTACATAAGGTATGTTAACTTCAGAATCTGACATATAAATAAGAATATTTATGAATACAATATTGTTCTCGATACCAAAGGAGTGCACTGTTATGATTATATTTTAAATTGCATACATGATTCTTCATAAGAGAAAGTCACTTAAACCACAAAACACGTACAGTTCGGTATGACTAGACAGTCAAAAGTAGGCAAAAATAACATCAAATGAATATGACCGAGAAATTTATTTACTCATAGCAAAAACAATATTGTGGCTATGCATCCATGCTGCGTTCCAAACACACTGTTTGCACTTGTACACAGCAGACGTAATTCAAAATTAACATATCGGTTTTTATCTTCTTCGTGTCACTGGATTTTCTGTCTGATCAATTCTCTGGTTCGCTTAAGACAACCGTCCCATGGAAGGCAATGTACAAACACTTTTTAAGCAAATTGTGTGAGTGGCAGCTGTTACCGCTAGGACATGACATGCTTACCCTTTTTACTGATTTTTAGTGATCTTTTCATGTAGTTTTCACCGCTATTTTGCTGTTACGTCCACTGTAATCTGTGTCGTCTGATAATCGAGATAATCAAATACACAGGTGTTGGGTTAGACCTTGAAGCATGGATGAGAAGAAGGGCGTAGGGATAGTTGTATATGCAGTTTAGTTGCCTGAAAAATAAGTCGTTCCTGTGTTGACTATGGTTTTATTTCAGCAATATCAAATCAATTAAATCAACTTTTAACATTTGTGGAGGATGAAGATTGCTTTAATCCCAAGAATGAAATGCAAAATCTACAAGAAATGATTGACATGACACCCCTGAACAGACAGAGGAATAAATGTGTAAAATATTTTGTCAAATACTCTCCATCATGTGCAATACTCTCTAACACATGGTCATGTCAAATATTCTCTAACACATGGTCATGACGTGCATATACTCCCCAACACATGGTCATCACTTTGCACTCTCCAAAACAGTCTTGATGGGAAATACTCTCCAACACATGGTCATTGTTTACAAATACTCTCCAACACCTGGTCAATGTTTGCAAATATCCTCTAAACACATGGTCATGATTGAAAATCAGAATCACTGCTGTCATCGATCAAGATTGCTTTTTGAGACTGAGACGTGACCCCATTAGTGACTGATGACCCGGATGTTTCACATCTGGAAACTTTCTTCTTAGCAGGAACAATTCTATCATCATCAAACTCAAGACCAGCAAGACTTTCTTCATCACTGTCAATAATCACAGGTTTACGTTTTTTGGTCAAAGAGTTGTGTTTCTTGACTGTTTGTTTATCTCCACCTGAATCAGCCAAACCAAAACTTGACGCCCCTCCGTTTTTCACAATTACCAGTTTTGGCTTTGAAAGCTCTTTCTTTTTTGCTGGGGATGGTTCCTCCGATGAGGATGGTGTGGCAGAGTTGTTCCCCTTCCCTTGAGAGCTGCTGGAGTTAGTTCTTACAACCTTTGTCTCGAATTCCATTGCCATTTTTGAGATTCCACTTCGAAGTTGACCTGCCTTGGCACCTGTAGACAAATAGTTCCAATTGCTTGATTACTAACAGAATTAAAAGTCACCGTCAGAGCAATCCAAATAAAGAAAGTAAATCTACAGAGGAAACTGTGTAAGGGACTAACACCATTTGATCAGTTTTGGAGCAGAGATCATATACCAAGGCTCTCTGTTTAGACGAAGGATGGAATTGTTTTGAAAAATAAATTTGTTCCAGGATTTGCTGGAGGTTTTACACACCAGAAACAATTAGTGGTTTCCCCCAACAATTGCTTTGTTCCTTCTAACAGAGAAATAAACAGTATTTCTTGTGGCATCTTCCCGAGGCAAGAGAGTTAACTGACTATAAAAGTCCAGTTTTTAGGACTGATACCAGCCGAACTAGGCTGGGCTGGGCTAACGAGTCTATGCATAGTCCAATCAAATTTGCACAACGAAATAGAAATCCAGTTCGTAAACTGTGGTGCTGATTTAGTTCGATTGCAGTATTTGAAAAGCATGTGCACTGCCAACTCGTTGTCAACAGATATTTTCCAAATCCTTTCATGATTTGAATCAAGGTGCTTACATGATTTGATGCACTTTGCGATGTAAGACCCGTTTTATCCCAATATAGATCATGATGATCGATCAGATCGTCTTGACTGGGCGCCGCCATTTTGTTTGAATCAAATGTAAGTGATACGAGAGGTGGAATCTGATTGGTCCATAGGAGAGGTTTAGAAGGGACATAACTCGTAATAACCACTGGTGGCGCTACGATTGAGCCCAGGAATTCAAGATGTTCTTGAGGCAGCACCTCCACCAAGTATCACAAGCATTGTCTCCTTGGTATATAACTGTGAGGTACTCTATATTACAATATGCAGTATCATGTGAACAATCTTTGATATATGGCTGGCAAAAAATATTAACTAAATTTCATCTTCATTACCGAAAGTGTTTTGAGAAAAAGTCCATAATACTTTATAAATGTTTGTGAGATGGCCCAAGACATCTAAACGCAAAGAAAGGAAAAATTTGTTTCAATACTGGTTGCAGTCATGTTGGAAATTGAAGTGGAACACCATCGCCCTGTAGATTCATGCACTATGTGGTTCCTAATAAATGTTAAATTAACAACCGAAAGGAAATAGACAACACATCAGCACATAACCTTGCATGATTCTTCAGTGCAGGGAGCTACAATATAAAAGGTTGTTCTTTTTGTATGTTTAATGTTGCAATCAGCATTATTCAACCTATATCAAGGCGAAATAAACAAATAAACCAGTGGTTGATATTATGAGAAATCTCCTACATTGTCAAAGAAAAACATGGGAGTCAGAAAATAAGGGAATAATATTGTATGCTTAGATGTCTGGGACTGGTTCCAACTTAATTTGATTTTATGAAGTAAGTCACAGTGCCATGACTACTTTGCAAAATGATCCTCTAAGCTCAATACAACTCAACTCAAATTTACTGGCCAGACCAGTGCTTGGTATTATGAGCAATGTCCTATATGAGTGAGTGAGTGAGTAGTGCAAAGACTGCTTAGTAAAAGGTGTCTAAGGATTGTGTAAATATGCAGGATTCATGTGTCTCATGATATTGCAATGATAGTTTGTTGTTTCACATGCAGCTGCAGATGTGACTGGTGTTGCTGATGTTGCTGTTGTTGTTGCTGACGTTGCTGGTGTTACTGATTTGACTAGTGCTGCTGGAGTTATTGCTGCTGATGTAGCTGTTTACCTGGGAGGAGGTAGCTGATGGTGGAGTAGGGTGTGAAGTGGAAATCTTCCTTCAAGTATGCATGGAGCAGCATGTAGGCCACAATCCTCTCCGCCTTGTCACGGGATATTGACATGGTGTCAAGGCCTTTCACCTTCAGTGACCCCTGACCCTTGCCATATAAGGCATCAATCAGTTTGATGGCTGTGACTCTCTGGTCTGTACACGCGGCCTGGTCTAGAATCTTCATGATGTTCTGGCCATGACGCGTTACATCACGTTTGTTGGCTGTCACTAGAACAATACAAAATCATTATTTAGGTAAAACTTTTTATAAACAATGTTTGTCAGAAATATCAAAATTACAAGATCAAGTGATACTGATATGTTCAGTAGATTTGGAGAAATATTTTACAGCTGATGGACAGATGCTGGACTGTCTGATGGGCAGCTGATGGGGTGAGTTGAGGTAAAATGGGGTTTAAGGTTGTGTCCAAGATTATTGCACTTATATATAGCAATGTGTGTGTGTGTGGTGTGTTGTGTGTCACTAGCCCCTTAAAGGGGCACTGATCTAACGCAATTCCCCGGACTGGTTGTTGCCTTTGTTATTGTTTTTTCCCTCGTGAGTACCCGGATGATACGCAACGCAACTGAGCGTGACCAGAGACTGGGCTACCGTCTGCAAGGACATTTAAATAAACTTGGAGGCTGGAGGCAATACTTGTTTTACGCATTTTTGCATAAACACTGATTGGGTAACTGTGATCTATAAAGATTTCGACAAAGGGCGCATGTTAATTAATTTCTTCAACCTAAACAAACAGACAAAAAGAACGGCGGAGCTCATCAGATGTCGTCATTTGGAAATACCCCAGATGGTTATAGTTTAATACTAAAAAAAGTATCCATGCAGTGAAAGCATTTTCGGATTTCGGATTGCGTCGATAATACGATTACTACTCCCTTGTTGTCATCCACGTTTTCTCGTATAACCCTACACTTGTGTATTTGTCGTCATTCACTTGATGCTCAGTTAAATAATTAATTGCAGGTACAATTAGTGGTAGCGCCACTTAGATTACCTGACAAAGGTTCCCATTTGGCATTTATTGTGTCTGGGGTAATTATTCAATCTAAATCCAGGTTTGAAGTGAGGTGAAATGTGTGTTATGTAATATGCACGTGGCAGCCCAGCAAGAGATGAATGATCAGTTGATTTACTTTTTTTTGTAAATCAACGGATCGTTACTAGTCATCAAAGGATTAACAGAAAATATGTTGATTGATTAATCACTGTTATCTTGCACAGTGGATATGTCAAAAGTGAGTGTTTACATGTGTAGGTTTACTAAAACAAAGGGAATACACTCATATCATGGCGTGAAGTGCCGATGTAAAAACAACATACTTTGTTCAAAGGGTTAACTGATAATACGTTGATTGATTGATCATTGTTAGCTATCACTCAATGGATTTTTTAGGAACCGTGGACGTTATGAAAATAGTTGTCATGTGGGCTTTCTCAGCCGACCTTTGAGACGTGACACCTATGTGAACAATTGAAACAATCCAAGTGATCAGTTGAGAAACGAACACGGGATATCCTTTGTGTGGATATTCACGGATACATTCCTCGAACAAGGAAGCTGCCCAAAATTTATACACATAAATTTGGTAGGTTGTAATTATGGTATTTGCATTTGGTTTTCTTTCATTTGAACCGATAATTCGTTCTTGTTTCCCTACGTCTTGGTTGGGAAATTCTTCAATGCGCGATAGACGTTGTTTTCACAGGTCTTTTCCTTTGTAAGCGTGTATATATATGTTTAGACGTTTAATAAATATGTTACACATTTTGACAGTAAAATAATATACACACTATAAAAAAAGCAATGCTCAGGTGAAATATTTACTTTGTGTTGCAAGTCAAAATAGTGTAAACGAAAATCGCAAAATTACCAAGCAAGTGACTTATCAAAACTTCGTCACCATTACCGATGCTACCCACAAAGATACCTTCATTTCCTTATTATCTCGAAATCTGTATTTCGTTTTGTTGATCAATGTGACCATACGCCCTTATTACTACCGGTATCTATAAAAGTGACTAATGCGCTTACGAATGGCGCAGCAGAGGTCGCGAACTAGTCTAGATTTCTGCTATACATCCGGGTACTCACTGGGGAATAACAATAACAAAGGCAACAACCAGTCCCGGGGAATTGCGTTAGATCAGTGTCCCTTTAATGAGGCCATTAGAGATCCGGGGTAGAATAGGTCTTCTATTCTATTCTAAAAGGCGACTATGCTTGTCGTAAGAGGCGACTAATGGATCGGGTGGTCAGGCTCGCTGACTTAGTTGATGCTTGTCATCATATCGCAATTGCGTGGATCGATCCAGACTCGATTATTTACAGACGGACGTCATATAGCTGGAATAATACTGAGTGTGGCGTTAAACAACAAACAATCAATCAAACTATCAATCAACAATCAAGTACCATCTGTTAATGTATGTTGTATGATGTGGCCAGGGATCGAACCACCGACCTTTATCCACTGGACCACGTGGGCCCTCCGCTCTCCAGGCAGAGGCCCTACCACTAGACCACAGAGACAGTAGGGTGGCCGATGGATGAGGACACACAAGAGAAGTTTACTCTGACTGTTGAAGGCGAGTTTAAAATGCCCATATCTCAATGGGTGAGAATAATGGAGTGATGTACAATGTCTACTCAGCGGTCAGCTTGACCAATCTGTAACCTACCTAACCTTGCTTGGTCACAGTGGTCGCATTTACTGTTACACTGAGACGCTTCCCACACCTCACCAAAATGCCGGGCAATCACCGACCGCCGACATCTATAAAACAAGATGAAATACAAATCTATAATCTTCATGACAACTGTTTACTATAGATAGTGTGTACAAATCCTCAAAGATATGTAGGTTTCAAATTATGAAGTGAACACATCAATCCAATCATCTGTTGGTATTGTCTTGGAAAAACACCAGTTTCTGACATTTAAAATAGAATCTACAGAATACACAGGTTTTACTTTCCCACAGTCTATTTCAGGCTGAGAAAATTTACTTCTTTGTTTTACAGAATAAATATCTTGCAGTTAAATATTTCATAAAATAATTTATTCAAAATTATTTTTCCACATTTGCAAAATTGCCCTGACCTTAACAGATATTTTCACCATTTCTTTATCATGATACATCACAAAATCAAGAACAAAACCTCATGATTTGTTTTGTACCATGACTGAGGTTGATCACCTCATGACCACAACATATCCTGACTTAGGGTTTCTCTGCATGAATAAAGGGTACAGTATCATGATAATGTGATTTGGATGTACTTCAACATGATTTGGGTATACTTCAACATGATTTGGGTACACTTCAACATGATTTGGGTATACTTCAACATGATATGGGTATACTTCAACGTGGTTTGGGTATACTTCAACATGATTTGGGTATACTTAAACATGATTTGGGAATACTGAGACATGAATAAGTGTATCATTTCAATTTTATAAGTCATTACCTGCTGGCATCAATACAGTATCCCACAATGCCGTACAGATTGTCCAGTCCTGTCTGTTCCGTGAACACCATGGTACTCTGCCGGAACACATCAGCCAAGCGAAAGAACACAATACAGTGTGATAGCTTGTCGTCTCTTCCTGAAACATTTTGTGTACAATAAAGTTAGATTTAACACTTAAACTAAGCTAAATATTTACAACACTGTTAAGTTTCCTAAACATTACAACTGAAATCCCCTCTCGCTGTAACCAAGCCAAGGTGACTACACACACAACACACACTGGATCCCCTCTTCCTGTAACCAAGCTATGATGACTACACACACAACACACGATGGTTCCCGTCTCGCTGTAACCAAGCCATGATGACTACACACACAACACACACTGGATCCCCTCTTCCTGTAACCAAGCTATGATGACTACACACACAACACACGATGGTTCCCGTCTCGCTGTAACCAAGCCATGATGACTACACACACAACACACACTGGTTCCCCTCTCGCTGTAACCAGTCCAAGGTGACTACACACACAACACACTGGTTCCCCTCTTCCTGTAACCAGGCCATGGTGACAATACACACAACACACACTGGTTCCCCTCTTCCTGTAACCAGTCCAAGGTGACTACACACACAACACACACTGGTTCCCCTCTTCCCGTAACCAGGCCGTGGTGACTACACACACAACACACACTGGTTCCCCTCTTCCTGTAACCAGTCCAAGGTGACTACACACACAACACACTGGTTCCCCTCTTCCTGTAACCAGTCCAAGGTGACTACACACACAACACACTGCTTCCCCTCTTCCTGTAACCAGTCCAAGGTGACTACACACACAACACACTGGTTCCCCTCTTCCTGTAACCAGTCCAAGGTGACTACACACACAACACACACTGGTTCCCCTCTTCCTGCAACCAGGCCATGGTGACTACACACACAACACACTGGTTCCCCTCTTCCTGTAACCAGTCCAAGGTGACTACACACACAACACACTGGTTCCCCTCTTCCTGTAACCAGTCCAAGGTGACTACACACACAACACACACTGGTTCCCCTCTTCCTGTAACCAGTCTAAGGTGACTACACACACAACACACACTGGTTCCCCTCTTCCTGTAACCAGGCCGTGGTGACTACACACACAACACACACTGGTTCCCCTCTTCCTGTAACCAGGCCGTGGTGACTACACACACAACACACACTGGTTCCCCTCTTTCTGTAACCAGTCCAAGGTGACTACACAGACAACACACTGGTTCCCCTCTTCCTGTAACCAGTCCAAGGTGACTACACACACAACACACTGGTTCCCCTCTTCCTGTAACCAGTCCAAGGTGACTACACACACAACACACACTGGTTCCCCTCTTCCTGTAACCAGTCCAAGGTGACTACACACACAACACACTGGTTCCCCTCTTCCTGTAACCAGTCCAAGGTGACTACACACACAACACACACTGGTTCCCCTCTTCCTGTAACCAGTCTAAGGTGACTACACACACAACACACACTGGTTCCCCTCTTCCTGTAACCAGGCCGTGGTGACTACACACACAACACACACTGGTTCCCCTCTTCCTGTAACCAGTCCAAGGTGACTACACACACAACACACACTGGTTACCCTCTTCCTGTAACCAGGCCGTGGTGACTACACACACAACACACACTGGTTCCCCTCTTCCTGTAACCAGTCCAAGGTGACTACACACACAACACACACTGGTTCCCCTCTTCCTGTAACCAGGCCGTGGTGACTACACACACAACACACACTGGTTCCCCTCTTCCTGTAACCAGGCCGTGGTGACTACACACACAACACACACTGGTTCCCCTCTTCCTGTAACCAGGCCGTGGTGACTACACACACAACACACACTGGTTCCCCTCTCGCTGTAACCAGGCCGTGGTGACTACACACACAACACACACTGGTTCCCCTCTTCCTGTAACCAGGCCGTGGTGACTACACACACAACACACACTGGTTCCCCTCTTCCTGTTACCAGGCCGTGGTGACTACACACACAACACACACTGGTTCCCCTCTTTCTGTAACCAGGCTGTGGTGACTACACACACACAACACACACTGGTTCCCCTCTTTCTGTAACCAGGCTGTGGTGACTACACACACAACACACGCTGGTTCCCCTCTTTCTGTAACCAGGCCGTGGTGACTACACACACAACACACACTGGTTCCCCTCTTCCTGTAACCAGGCCCTGGTGACTACACACACAACACACTGGTTCCCCTCTTCCTGTAACCAGGCCATGGTGACTACACACACAACACACACTGGTTCCCCTCTTCCTGTAACCAGGCCGTGGTGACTACACACACAACACACACTGGCTCCCCTCTTCCTGTAACCAGGCCGTGGTGACTACACTCACAACACACTGGTTCCCCTCTTCCTGTAACCAGGCCATGGTGACTACACACACAACACACACTGGTTCCCCTCTTACTGTAACCAGGCCGTGGTGACTACACACACAACACACATTGGTTCCCCTCTTTCTGTAACCAGGCCGTGGTGACTACACACACAACACACACTGGTTACCCTCTTTCTGTAACCAGGCCGTGGTGACTACACACACAACACACACTGGTTCCCCTCTTCCTGTAACCAGGCCGTGGTGACTACACACACAACACACACTGGTTACCCTCTCGCTGTAACCAGGCCGTGGTGACTACACACACAACACACACTGGTTCCCCTCACTGCTGTGTGCACTCACCTGCTCGCCCACTCTCTTGGTAAAGGTTTTCCATGGACTTGCTCAGAGAGTGATGGATGACGAACCTCACGTCAGGCTTGTCGATGCCCATGCCGAATGCTACTGTTGCTACCACAACCTGTCGGGACAGAACAGAGGTGATACTTGAATGAGTTGGTTCAGTCATCAGGCTGTGATTGTTCTTAAGGTTCTTTATCAGTAGAAACTAGGGAAAAAAAATGAGAGGTATTTTTGTCCCTCTTAGCAATACTCCATGAACACCTCACAGGGCAAAACCAAACTGGATCCGTACATAACGAACCCATGCTGGGACATAAACAGCAAATAGAACTACCCACTCGCAAACCAGCTTAATACTTCACAACTCTAAAAAAACTCACATGAATCTGACTGGCTGTCCACAGTTTGTGCACACGGCTCCTCTCTTTGGAAGACAGGTCACCATGGTAACACCCTGCCTTGATGCCTCGCTTCTGCATCTCTATGGTAACCTCCTCAGCATCCTTCCGGGAGAAACAGTACACGATGCCTGGAAGGAATAGCAGCAAAATGTCATATCAGAAACATCTCGGACTAATGTCATTAAATGATGCAATACTTTAGATTGAGGTGTTTCATACAGAGTGGTATTGCATCAGAGTAAAGGTCTGAATTTATTGAGATTGGTTTCAGACCAAATGGAAGGTATCTTTCTGTACAGCTAACCAAAAACAGTAGCGGAGGCCAGGAGTACATCCTTGATTATCCACAGTATCACATCTCCATTCTATTACCATAAATACCCTGAGGCACATTCAACAGCAAACCTTTTTTTCATCTGGTTTAATTGACACAACAATAAAAATGTAACTGTCCAATCAAATAAGATTGTCCTGATGACTGAGACCAGCAACGTTATCACCGTATTCTTCACCTTAGCGAAAATTGCATTGCAAAAGGACTTCCCTCCCATATACAAGTAACATCTTTTCCAGCTAAAAATTCCTCTATAACAATCTCCTGATTTAAATAAACATTTCGAGGGCTAGTTCCATCCATGTCATGATTTTTATGTAAATTAATGCTGAAGTTATGTCAGGAAATGAAAAATCCATGTATTGGTCAGTGTTACATGGATAGAATACTGAAACGGTCAGTAGTTTAGGCTGAAATAAGGACCAGACAATCAAGTGATTGATATGTAATCCAAACTGCTGAGAAAACATGCAATAAACCAAGTCACCGAGTCTGACCACCTGAACCATGTATTCGCCTCTCATGAGCAGGATAGGTTGCTGGGGCCCTATTCTTACCCCATCTTCCCAAGGCAAGATAACTGATATAAAAGTCCAGTATCCACCCTTGCCGAACAAGGCTGGTATTATGGAGTTATATTTTGCCTGGACAGATGAGTCTATGCACAGTCCAATCAAAATCGTGCACCGAAATCAAAATCACGTGATTTGATGCATTTCACAATGTAAGACCCGTTTTATCCCAATATAGATCTTGATTATCAAACAGATCGTCTTGACTGGGCGCCACCATTTTGTGTGAAGCAAACGCAAGTGATACGAGAGGTGGAGTCTCATTGGTCCATAGGAGAGGCTTAGAAGGGACATAACTGTAATAACCACTGGTGGCGCTACGATCGAGCCCAGTAATTCCAGCCTAGTTCAGCAAGGGTGGAAACTGGACTTTTAAAGTCAGTTAACTCTCTTGCCTCTTGAAGATGTTCTAACCCAGATTCCCTGCGGGTCTGGGCTAATAGGGTTCATTCACTGTACAAGGCCACTTACCTGACTGTCCCCTGAATCTGGAGTTGATGAGGGCCTGTACTTCATCCATCGAGTCTTTCTGAGTTGATGGCTTAGGTCGAACCTGCATCATAAAGATATCAAAACAATAAAACTTGTTAGTAGCTATTGCAACCCAGGTCTCATTGGGCAGATTTATGTGTTGCCATGGTAACGGTGTATACTTACTTCATAGTAGAGATTGGGTCTGTTAAAGGATGCACGGAAGAGGTGACAATTTGGGATGGCAAGGATCTTCTTCACGTCTTGCAGCACCTTCGTTGTCGCGGTAGCCGTCAGTCCCAGGATCGGCACCTCGGGAAACTGCCGCTTCATGATGCCAAGGAATTTGTAGTCTGCATCACACCATGATATCAGTAACTATATAAGACCAGATTGTTATATTTAGTTGTGAATAAATCTGCTCTGTGGATTGGAAATATAAATAAAACAGAACACTGTCTTAAAAAGTTATTTGAATACATTGCCATATGTACAATATTCACGAAATAATGTTGTCTTGAATTGCACATTTGGTGGAATGATAAACAAATAACATTTCCTATTTTTGTTCCTACTTTTTCATTTTTCTGTGAAAACCATTCTGTTAATCTGATTTCTAACAGAGAACTTAACATCGTCTTTAAAAACAATTACTTTCATTCTCATTATACTCACTGCATGCCTGGAGATTATTAATAATCATGATCATCATCTATATCTTCATCCAATGTTTAAATAACATATCTAGGTTTATAGTTTTAATTAAAATAATATCTGGTTTTGCAGCTGTCACTGAAACAATTATCTAGTCCCCATAAAAAGTCACCCAGCCCCACCCCATCAACCCACCCCCTACTACCTTAATGAAAGACAAACATCTACCCACCTGGCCTGAAGTCATGGCCCCACTGGGAACAACAGTGGACCTCGTCAATGACAAGTCTTGCAAACCGCCCGAGCTGGTACATCTTCTCTAGCCTGTTCATGAAACGTTTACTCTTCGCCAACTTCTCAGGGGTCACATACACTAGTTTCAAGGTCGCCTTCTTGTCGATCATGGCGTCCTGCACGTATTTCACATGTTCTTTGGTGGCGGAGGCGTTCAACATGGCTGCCTCCACACCAAACTGTTCTAGGGCCATCATCTGGTCCTCCATCAGTGATACCAGAGGGGAGACAACCAGAGTTATACCTGTAATATTACAGCAGAGTGAATGAGTGAATGGGTAGGTATGTGAGTGCATGAGTGGTCAAGCGATCCAGCAAGTGTGTTAGTGTGTGACTTTAGTTAAACACAGCTTTGTATTTAAGTCATATAATAGCGTATCAGCTTAATGTGCAGCATCTTCCCAGGCAAGGGAGCTAACTCACTATCAAGCCAGTTTTCACCTTTGACCAACTAGGCTTGAATTTCGGGGCTCGATTGTAGCGCCACCAGTGGCCGTTATGAGTGATGCCCCTTCTATATCCCTCCTATTGACCAATCAGATTCTACCTCTCATATCACTTGCATTTGCTTCAAGCAAACTGGCAAACGATCTGTCTTACCTCGTGATGTGCATCAAATCGCGTCATCACCTTGTTTAAAAACATGTAAGATTTGGAAAATATCTGTTGATGCCGAGTTGACGGTACAAATGCTTTGCAAATTCTGCAATCAACTGAAATGTGCACAGCAGTTTACGAAACCGTATGTGGATTTCATTGCGTGATTTTGATTAGAGTATGCATAGACTCGGTGGTCCAGCCAAAATATAACTCCATAATTTCAGCCTAGTTCGGCAAGGGTGGAAATTGGACTTTTATAGTCAGTTAACTCCCTTGCCTTGGGAAGATGAATGTGCAGGTTATGGATTTTCATGGTATGGTGCTGACAAACCTAGCAACATAATCAGGGCAAATCTGGGACTCAAAACCATGACCACAGGCTTCAGGCTCATACGCTGATATGATTGATCTTAGTGACTATATCATAACTTGCTGGTCCCCTCATTTTGTGTAACACATTCATGAACCCCGCCTCCCTATAAAAAATTACCAGTCCCTAAATAATGTTCAAATTTTTAAAAATTACATATGAAAAAATAGAACTGTGTAAGTTTTTGAAGAAATTCTCAATTCAATAGTTTTACTCCACCATAGAGAAAAATTAACTTTTTTTCTCAAAATAATTATCCAAGTCACCTTTTGATACAACAGCTGGGAGCTGGAAACAAAGACTCTTGCCACCGCCAGTCGGCATGATGAGGATACAGTCCTTCCCCGACATGCTGACGTTCATCGTCTGTAGCTGCATCGGACGCAGCGCCCGGATCCCGAACACCGATTGCATCTTCTCCTCCAACTCCTTTGACCAGGCAAAATCTGAATGGTACATCATCACTGTCATCACTATCAATGACATATTTGAGTTTAACTTCCAGGGGTCGAAATTGCTAATATTAGTGTGTAAAAGGCATGTATAGGATCGTATTGGCATGGTTTAAATATGTTCCTAATGCATGAAGGGTACACATATGGCATGAAGCCAGTGACATAGGTACATGGGACAAAGACATGACAATAAAGATATAAACATGCTTTGATTCACAAAATAGACTGGGGATTCAGAATTTGAGAAGGGTATTATCAATATTAATGACAGAAATATTTGCCATCAAATTAGTATAGTGCTATATGAATCAAAACATTTTCTTTCTTTAATCTGCTAATATTTGTTATAGAAATGTGTCTTTTTGTTAATATTAATAAGTGATTCAATAATATCAGTACCTCCAAAGTAGATATCTTGTTTTGTAATAATAACAAGTCTGAAAATAACATTTATAAAAGCATTGAATTCATCCCAGAATTTTGTTACATATGATCATTCTAAATACGTGACCAATGTTTTGTTTTTCTGAACTACGAAATGAACACAGGTTGCTGCCTAACAAGTTCATATTTAACAATTCTTTTTTAGTGCAAATATTTTTGTTTTTGAATTTGAATTGATATTTTAATAGTTTTGTAACTTTTGTAGTTGTTCTATATTGTATAAATAGATGTTTCCAATTAATATGATTGTTTAATTCCCCTTCCAACTTCTTTCAAATTAAATTGAAAAGAAAAATGAATAACGAGGCACGGTTTATTTCAGGATAAAACAATTTTGTATCAAGACATCATTTCTGGAGATATGAACATAAACTCACAACTTTATGACATCGTAGATTATTGATATCCTTAAAGAGGGTGGCCACTGCAGAGAGAATAAACCACAAGACGCTGCTCCCCACTTGGTATATTCTCCCTGCAGTGTTTCATTGTACTATAAATAATGACCCTGAGTTGTTTGTTTCATAAATAAGTACCTCTTAAGTCACACATTACTTTTAGCTCAGGAAAAGGAATAAAATCATCAGAGTTATTTACATCTTTTATATGGCGAATTCCCCTTTTATACCAATTTCTAACAATTAATCTTGAAATTTACATTTATGATCACACCAAAATGATTGCATTAAAATTTCATAACATCATTTTCAGTTATTACATAAATGTTTATAGATTTGCTACAAGCATCTAATGAATCTTCCCAAAATGGCTTAGTGACACGGAAATGTTTTTGAATATACACCAAAACAGAAAATATCTTTTAAAGGAAAACCTGAAAGATGATAGCTTTGTGGTTTAGAAATAAGAGTATATTGTCTGATACACAACAACTTCAGTACCGGTAAGTAAATATTATAAACATTGTGATATCAACCATTCTAAGGCCACTACTTTATTCATTGTTAGGGTCATGGAATTGTTTTTGTAACTGTCATTGATATAGAAATAAATCCAAATGTTGATGAAATTATTTGAAAATGTCAATAGGAAAACCGTCAAGTCCCAAACTCTTGTTATTGTTCATAATAGCAGCAGCTATCTCACTAATTTTTATTTCTACATCTACCGTATTCGACGTAATAAGCGCCCAGGGAGCTCTCAAAATTAGAAATAGGGGGCTCTTATTAGAATATTATTTTGGTGGAAAAAAAAACAGAGTTGAAAGATAAATTTTGTGGTTTATGCTGACAGCCTGAAATGTTTATATACGAGAGAAACATTTTTCCACAATTTAATTGCCCATAATTAAGGGTGCATATAACACACGAATGCGTATTACACGCGAATAAATAAGTGTTGTGTACATTGATCAATCAGAAGGGGTGATAATTGGTATTGTTCACTAGCTAATATATTAGCAAATATCGCAGTTGGTGCTTATTAGAGCGGGGCGCTTATTACTTCAAATACGGTAATCATAGACCCTACGAGCACACGGACAGATCAAGGATTATGACTTGATTATTACAGACCAACATCATATAGCTGGAATATTGCTGAATGTGGCATTAAACTAAAAAACAACAGAGCCATTGACCACAGACCTAAATGTCTGACAAGAAAATTGAAAGTAACCTTTGGTCTCCCATTGTTTGTCGTCCAGCTGGTTCGACTGCTCTGACTGTTGTTTCAAGATGGCCTCAAGGTCGCTCCTCCTCTCCGCCAGCTGATGTTGTCTGTCCAGCAGGAGCTGCAGCTGACCTTCAACTTCCGCGAGCTCCTTCTTCACTCCGGCCAACTCATGGCGATAGTCTGGAAACAGACATGGGCAACGTGTTACCTTGTTCCTCCACAGGTGTCTATGCAACCATTGACATTATACATTCTCCGTAACACAATCATAATCATAAGTACACAATGCCATTTAGAAAGTGGTCAAATGTAACAAATGTTATATTTGGGATAACACTTTCTTAGTTAAGTACAGATTCTCGTACTTTTTTGGGTTGAGTCCCGTCCGGGATTCGAACCCACACTTGCCAGAGTGAGGCACCTAATCGCCAGCACACAAAGACATCGTTCTAACCCACTCAGCCACTGAGGCTTCCACAAAAATGAAAGTCCGACAACTGGTACTCATGTACTTTGAGTACCTCTCTGACAAGTGTAAATTGGCACGGCTCCCATGGACGAAATGGCATTGTGTATTCATAGCTTTCGGCCATGGGAGCTGTGCCAATTTATACTCGGTGGCTGAGTGGGTTAGATTGCTGAGTTTGTGTGCTGGTGATTAGGTGCCTCACTCTGGCAAGTGTTGGTTCGAATCCCGGACGGAACTTAACCCCCAAAAGTATGAGAATCTGTACTTAACTAAGAAAGTGTTATCCCAAATATAACATTTGTTACACAATCATAAGGTCTATTTACGAGATCTTAAGTACTAGTATTATGTGTTTTCAAATTGTGTAATGGGGTTCATACTGTGGGGTCGTAACAAATCAAGGATCATTGCAGTCAGAATAAGCAAATTTTCACAATAATGAAACCAGTTTTAGTTTGGTTATCAGTTATCTCCTGTGTGCCATCATCTCAGTCATGTGTGCAAAGTGTCATTCGGTTTTGGTTAGGGTGCCTGAGGTCCATTTCTGTGTAACTGTGCCAAAATTGGTATCCCGTATTATGGATTTTCAGACACTTCAGAAACACTCGTAATTTTCTCGCTAATCACATCAACAAATGTAAAACATCTCACTCGCTTATAAAAGACGACTTATCTTTAAAACAAGCCATCTTCTGAGTATTTACAATGTCCGCATTATGCCACACTCCTTGTTAAAGCGTGAGCAATAGTGATAAACATGACTATCCGAAAACGCATGATGTCTGAAAACATATGATCCGATGATAATATTGAAGTCTAGCCCGGGCAAACCAGAGTTTGATATCATGATATACGTGACACTGGGTACAATGACACACATTCAGCCAAGTCACAGAACCTGACAAAGCCAAACAAATACATTCACCTATTCCAAAAATACATTCACCTATTCCTTCACCTTGCTGTTTATTTTTTGTGTTTGGTCATGGATCTTGGCCAAATTTATACTGAATTTTCTGGTTTTTTATGTATAAAACTATTATGTATAAAATGTTGAATGAATGATATATATCCTTGTGGTATATGTTCTATCATTGTGTTATGTTTTTTTGGACGCTTAGTCTTAGCGTCTAGATCTTTTATATGTGCGTGAGTAAAATATGTTACAGTTAATTGTTCATGAATGTGATCAGCGAGAAGATTACAAATGTTTCTTAAGTTAAGAAACATTTGTAATCTTCTCGCTAATTAAGAAAGGGTACAGGCTAAAATTGCACCTCAGCAAAAGACACAAGGGTGAGATTTTATTTATCATCCAACATGTTCAATTTGTCAACAGTAATAAGCAATGTCTTAAAGTGTAAAGTACTGCTAACAGCTTCTGCAGCAGAGCCATAAGTGATGTCATTTGATTGTGATGTCATGTAACCAGTGACATCACAATGGTCTGCAAAGCATTGTGATGCAATTTCCTTGCAGTGATATCTACAATGTAGATATTGCTTGATCTCACCCAAGCAATATCTCCTGTGGGAACCAGTTTTGGATGATAAATGTTCATATATACAGTTCTTCAGTTCTTCTAGTCGTCGGCATGTTCATCGTCATCTTCATCGTGTCACAATATTGGCCCATGTACAAACGAACGTGAGAGTACTTGGCTCAGAGAGAGGTCTCCATCCTTGTATTGTTGCCATATGTCGAAGATCTCCACCTGACAAGATGTGGATGCTTTGCGCACATACGCCCTAAGTCGTCCCTCCTGAATAAGTCTTGACTGTAGAGGCAACAGACTGGCCTCCCTGAAAAGGGGTTGAGTGGTTTTGGCGTCCACCAGCCTGGTCAAGGTCGACGAGTCTCTGTTGAGCATCTTCAACGATACTGGCGCCCGATTTGTAGATGTTTTCAACAGCTTGTTCCTTTACCTAAAACATTATACATGTATGAAGGTGTCGTCAACCTGTATCACCGATGCCGGACAGGTTGTTGTCTTGTTCCTGACGCTGCAGGGCCAGAATGTTCTGGTATCTGAAGTTTTCTACAAACACCACATGAAAAATAGAATATGACATACTTACTTAGATTATACTTATATTATATTCTTATGAGACATAAATAAATGTTTGTGTTTAAAAACAAGTTTAAGTTTATCCACGCATCTCAAACAGCAGAAAGGGAAGTCTTCTTCAGTCCGGCAAATTTCTCTATAACGGGCCACACAAAGTCCAGTTCCACATACACGACGGAGCCACTGGTCACAGTTGTCACATGATACAGCATGTTGATTTTTTCTGACATTCTTCTCGCATGCAACACAGTGGAAGACCATTGTGAATAATTGTGATCTGACAGCACCATGTTAGGCCTCTTAGATACAGTTTCAGCTTAAATTGAGTAAAGGTACTTCAAACTTCAAAGTGCATAGTGTTTTCACAACAACTTAACTCCGCCTCCCAATCAGTCGGCGAGTAAATTGGAGTAGGGGTCTAATTTCTTACTTGTTTTATTTCACAATTATTTGTTTGTAAGAGACGATGTGAGTATAAATTTCTATTATTTTTCTTCAAAGCATGTAATGTTTTCACAATAAGTTGAGTGTGTATAAGCTAAGTTGGATTATGGCTGGAGTAGAGGCTAATTTCTAATGTAAACTTGTTTTAACATATCACAATTATTGGTGTTTGCAAGTTACCATGTAAGTTTAATACCATTTATTTTACCAAGGTAAACAAAAAAATAAGGTGCCGTTTTCGCCAATCAATAGTAGCCGTTTTCGCTTGAGTCGAGGTGCCGTTTTCGCCCGGTGACGTTTTGCTGAGTTGCCGTTTTCGAAATAACCCAAAAGAAACATTCGTAATCTTATTGCTAATCACATTCATGAACAACTGTAAAATATCTAACTCACACAGCTAGACAACTTTATCTTAAAAACAAGACATTATCCGAGTACATCTACAATGCCTGTGTGACGACAAACCCCTCGTTATAAGCGGGAGTAATCGCGATAAACACGGCCTTCCGAAAGCGTGACAAACTACATGATCCGATGATAATCATTGTGTACGTTGTGTGCGGCACCGAGCCTTGCCGAAGCGGTCCATGCTGTTTTCACGCTTGCAGCTGTAGCCGTACCAGCAGGATTCAAAATAACGATGATGTGTTTCGTTCGGACACATCACACAAGAGCAATGTTCAAAGTTCTCACCATCCATACTGTTTGTCGCCAGGTAATTACTCAACGGGCTTCGAAAGAAGACTTGAATCCGTGCGAAATAATACTATGTTTGCTTTACTGGGCGCAGCCATATTTAAAACACCCGTATGTTAATGTTTTGTTTATCGCGATACTCTGACTATTTTTAGTTTATCAAGTTGCAATTTGACGCAAAGCATCGGGTCCCAGGTGGTCTAGTGGTTAGGATTTGGCGCTCTCACCGCCACGGCCGGGGTTCGATTCCCCGTCTGGGAAGTAACATTTTTAATTTTTATACACAATTATAGCCGTTGTAACCGAATATGACACTGTATATGACAACTACAGACACCATAACGAATTTATTATGCCGAAACGTTTACACTGTTTGGTATCTTTGTCTTTGTATCTTTTCAAAATGAAAACTTGACACTTACAACGGTATAGACGACATGGACCAGTACAACGCTTTAATATAACCATAAACGTTAACAATGGAATATATAATGCACTAAAAGTGAACGTTTAAAGTATTATAGCTAAAATGGATAGAATTATCATACAAATGCTCGCATGTTTACAGAAATCTGAGGGCCAGTGTAACTTGATAGCAGTCCGCTTTCCCCTACCGACGGGCTGCTGTTTATTCTATGTGACGTCATTGGCGTCACGTTTCTTGTTTGTGACGTCATCCTATATTATGATCTATGACGTGCTATTTGTAACACAGTGACCTCCGTTGTAAGCTTTTTTCTCTCTATTTTTTATTATTAAAGTCACGAAGGTGGTTTCTTTAAAATCAAAGTTTTGCTCCTCACTATTAATTATATTAAAACACAAAACAGTGTCGAATAACGATTTTCTGTACCAGAATTTTCATGTGAAATATGTGAGGTGGGTGTTGGAAAATCCAAAATGGCTGTTACTGACGGTATACGATCTCATATTAGGTCAGTAACAACCATCTTGGATTTTTTCTGACGGTATATACGGACTCTCATATGGGGTTAGTAGTTCTGCGCGATGATTGGTCAATCTCACTTTGTGGCATAATAAAGATATATATACATACGTCTGTATAGTGTCCCGCCGTGATATTGCTGGAATAATGCCTATGTAAAGCGGCGTAAAACCATACTCAATCACTTAATTGATGTAGTGTACAAATTATATTATGTGAGGATAAGATATATTGATGAGCAACTTTTTTATTACAAAAAGGAGAGACGTTTCAGGTGTATGTTCTAACACCGTTTATTATATTGTGTTCCACAATACATTTCGTACATTACAATACACATCGTTTCTAAAACAAAATACACGTACATACTGATTTCTAGCTCGACTTGCTTACTTTTATCACCAAGGTTGGTATTGATGATCAAACAGCTAGAATGCCAACATATACCAGGGCCAGGGTGTCATGAGTGCGAAACCAGTCAAATGTCTACGACCCGCATCACTTCAGGCTTTCCTGCCTTATCAAGCTGACAAGAAGTGATATAACCGAAATATTGTAAATACAGTGTCAAATAAAACTCACCGTGGTGCGTTCAAACATGATCAACAACCAGCATAAAGTACGCCGGATGAAAACGCGATGTGATAGCATGCTTTTCGACACAAAAGGGCCGGTAACTGCTATCGACAATGTATAAGCGTTGACTTATTCTCTTCTGCATTCACGCTTACTTTTGATTGTGCGCAGCAGCCTGAAACAACCGGTTTAACGCAAATCGGAACAATGAACTCTTCCGTAAAATAGGATACGCTGGTTCCGAATTGCAATCAGAGTATCCTTACTACTCATCTAATCAAAATTCGATTTTAGAGGATAACGTAGTCGCAATTCAAGTTTTTTGGGTGATACCAAATTTCCGGTAAGTTTATTTCGCATTCCCAGGTGGTCTAGTGGTTAGGATTTGGCGCTCTCACCGCCACGGCCGGGGTTCGATTCCCCGTCTGGGAAGGACATTTTTTGTTTTCTTCCTGAATATTTGTCTATTGTTCTTCGTGCTTTTCACTGAGTTATACAGGAATTCGATTTCGACTTCTTTTGTTTTTATGAAACTAATCAAGGACTACGATTGTAAAATGACGGGTTATTTTTAAATGATCTATAAATCAGATTATTCCAATACATATATACGTATAAAATGTAAGTGTATTTAATATGTCTGAATTTCAAATCTATAACTAAATCACAATGATGTGAATAACCTATATGTAATATAAACTGAATTGCATATTCACAACAGTCTGTGATGACATTGCATGAATGAAAGCCTTAATCGTCATCCCAATGTTATGGGAAGACCTATACTCCTCAATTTCTATCATATTCGTTGTCCGTTTTTCTACAGGGTCGTTTTCGCCAAGCATGAGCGGATAATTTCTTGGCCGGCACCCATATGTGGGTGCCAGTTTGGCCAGCTTGCCCTCACGATGCGAACAGTCATGCCACCCCCTCTCCAACTACCGTTGGTTTCCCAGGTGGTCTAGTGGTTAGGATTTGGCGCTCTCACCGCCACGGCCGGGGTTCGATTCCCCGTCTGGGAAGAAACTTTTTCCCTTTTTGTATTTGTGTAATAATAGTGCCGAAATCAACCACAAAGGCATGCTCTATTTTGTATATGGTGTCCCCAACTTTGTCCACACCCTTCAGCATGGTAAACATCCTATCAAGATTCCACATTATTCTGTAGTTTCATTTCAGAAACGGATTACGATTTACATACTATTAAAGCAATTTGATTTAAACTACTCTCAGGTGGTCCCATAAACAAGTGAAATGCTCTTCAAAATCATATGTCTTATAACAAACATCGTGCAAAATCAAATACCCGTGCTGTCTCTGCCCTCTGTAGAAGTAGGCTCGATCGGTGCCTTGTCAGTTTCGCACGTGCATTCGTGATAATCCGGAGCCCGCAGCTAGTACTTTCAACAATGGGATGTATTGCACCCCTTGCGTCTCTTACGCCACATTAATTTGATCTTAACTATCTAATAACAGATTTGTAGTGAGAAAACACTTACACCAAGGTTAAGTGAGTAAAAGGTGCACAAGGGTAAGTCCAACAGTATTCCCCCTTCACTCCCAAAGAGCACATTCCCAGGTGGTCTAGTGGTTAGGATTTGGCGCTCTCACCGCCACGGCCGGGGTTCGATTCCCCGTCTGGGAAGGACATTTTTTGTTTTCTCCCTGAATATTTGTCTATTGTTCTTCGTGCTTTTCACTGAGTTATACAGGAATTCGATTTCGACTTCTTTTGTTTTTATGAAACTAATCAAGGACTACGATTGTAAAATGACGGGTTATTTTTAAATGATCTATAAATCAGATTATTCCAATACATATATACGTATAAAATGTAAGTGTATTTAATATGTCTGAATTTCAAATCTATGACTAAATCACACTGATGTGAATAACCTATATGTAATATAAACTGAATTGCATATTCACAACAGTCTGTGATGACATTGCATGTGTAGCAGGGTACCTTATATTCTTCCTATAGTTATATCATTATTCATACATCATCATCATAATCATCTATATGTTCAATGTTTGTCTTGTCTACAGTTGAATATCAGTATCTAACTCTATAAACAACTCAACACCCTTATTTTCAGTCTCTGGGAATCTCTCACCAGATCTTCCCCTTCAACCTTCTGTCTATCTTTAGACATTTTTCACACCTGTAGGGTTTCCCTCAGTCTATTTATATCTTGCATTAAGCACTTCCTTTGATGCTTAATGCAATCTGTCTTCTAATTGGCCACCCTGGTCCTCTACAGGTAGCTTCCTTCCATACCTGACTTCCTCCTCACTTCATGTGCTGCTGTTGAGGAGGAAGGACATTTTCTTTTCTTCAGGTATGGAATGGCCATATTTCAATCTGTTTTCATCTGCTTCTGTCAGAAATTAATATCTATGTTAGGGTGCTGACTTAAATTGAATAATATATATAATACCATTTAAAGTAATATTAAATTAGTAAATGGAATATTGATATTATAAAACTTGCCTGTAAAATAATTAACCACATGGTCCATTTTGGCCCATGTGCTTTTCAAGTGTCCTATCATGAACATACAACAGTAATATAATATTAAAGTTAGTTTATTATAGTTTATCAATGGCTTTTGTACTTATATATTTAAGATAAATAATACTTGTAAACTTGCAAATATATGACTTCATGTGCTGCTGTTGAGGAGGAAGGACATTTTCTTTTCTTCAGGTAGTTCTTCAACAGCAGCCACCCCCTTGCAATAAATCCATTATCACCATCTGCCTGTGTCTGTGTTTCCCAACGGTCCGAGCCGGATAAATACCACTACCCCGGCTACAAATTTGGCGCCCAACGTGGGGCTGAGCACGTTCATATTAAATTTGAGCAAAATAAGCCTCAGTACCCTACTTTGCGGCCCGGGACGTGCCTTCTGTTGACAGGGGAGTATGAAGCAGGGCGTGGAGTTATCCCACAGATGACATCCTTACCTTGTCAGCTTGCTGACGGGGTTAACCTCTTTGGTCATGTGGACAAGGCGTCCGACCTCGGATCAGAAGGTCCGTGGTTCGAATCCCAGCACGGGACTTGAAAATGTTATGGCCGCGACACATGAATGAAAGCCTTAATCGTCATCCCAATGTTATGGGAAGACCTATACTCCTAAATTTCTATCATATTCGTTGTCCGTTTTTCTACAGGGTCGTTTTCGCCAAGCATGAGCGGATAATTTCTTGGCCAGCTTGCCCTCACGATGCGAACAGTTATGCCACCCCCTCTCCAACTACCGTTCGTTTCCCAGGTGGTCTAGTGGTTAGGATTTGGCGCTCTCACCGCCACGGCCGGGGTTCGATTCCCCGTCTGGGAAGAAACTTTTTCCCTTTAGTATTTGTGTAATAATAGTGCCGAAATCAACCACAAAGGCATGCTCTATTTTGTATATGGTGTCCCCAACTTTGTCCACACCCTTCAGCATGGTAAACATCCTATCAAGATTCTACATTATTCTGTAGTTTCATTTCAGAAACGGATTACGATTTACATACTATTAGTGCAATTTGATTTAAACTACTCTATGATGGTCCCATAAACAAGTGAAAAAGTATGTACATTAGCCAATATTTC